ACTACTTTAATAAAACTAAGTTTCTATATAGTGCTACATAAACTATGTTGCATAATTAAAGACAGAGTTATTATCTTCTTTTATGTAGACAATATTATTGTTGCATATAACTATTATAGTAAGAGCTACTATAAAGCTACTATAAAGGCTCTTTAAAAGTAATACACTATAACTAAAAGAAATAACCTGTAGTAGTTTTTTAGCGTAGAGGTTACGCGTAACTAAAAAAAGCACTTTATCTATCTATTGCAATTAGCATACCTAGAGAAGATTAGCTAACTAATTAATAACTAGAGCATCTGTTATAACACTCTAATAGGTGCTGTTAAACTTAAACTATACAAAGGGCTTGCTACTTTATTAGTAATAAACAAGTATTAGCGCAAAATTAGTTTACTGCTATTTGCTGTAATAACAACGCAACTAGACACTGCATTTGCAGTGTTACAGCTAGCACGCTTTCTAGTTAACTTATTGCTAGATTATTACTAAGCAGCTAACAGAATTCTTCTACACCTGCAATTAACTAAGCACCTTACTCTACAACTTAAAAGAAGTAATAGCCTTAAAGTATTAAGCAACGCATTATTTGCAGACAACACTCTTAATAGAAAAAGCTTATAAGAGTATATAATAAAGCTTTTTAAAGAGCTTATTGCGTAGAGAGCTAACAAGCAGAATACAGTTACTACTTTAATAACTAAAGCTAAACTGCTAGCGCTCTTCTAAGTAGCAAAAGAGGCAATGTATCTTTTACGCCTAATTTAGAAACTAGAAGTTATACTACCTAACAAATTAATCCCTATCTAGTGCAACAACATTTAAACAATTTGCCTAATTAATAAGAACATTATAAAGCTTTAAACAAAGCTATAATATGTAGACATTTACAATTACTAGTTATAGCAAGAACGCGCTAAGAGAGTAATAACTATTAAGTATTAACCTACTACAGAGATAATTGCAGATAAACTTATAAAGGCCTTGCTAGCTAACAAGTAGCACTAGTTTTAATTGCAGCTAGAACTAGTATAAAGGGCATATCTAGCTTATAACAAGGTTTTAAGCTAAGGGAGTGTGTTAGATACATGCTAAATAGTAAGAGGTTTTATAGTAGTTTATAGTAAATTACTATAAAATGCTCTAGCTAATAGAAAAGAGTTAGGTGTACCTAACTCTTTTTAATTAGCTAATAGCTAAGGCAACTAGCTACCTACTCTAGGGGTTAGAACTGTCTAATCTTACAGGAGAAAAACAACAACACAATTATTAACTTCATTATTACTACGCATTACTGTGATATCTAACAACTAAAGCTAGACATTTTAAAGGTATTTATAATGTTAAGGTCTTAGAGATCTCTAGTTAAGTTTTATAGATAACTAGTAGGTAACACTAAAATAATAAAGGTAAAAGTATAAAGTAACAACTAGATTATATTTCTAAGAAGTAGGTTATAACTTAGAGTAAATACAAGAGGCTATAAGGGCTTCTTATTTACTAATTATATATATAAGGTTGTTTAGTGCTTGCTAGCAAGCGCGCTTACTAGTAAGTATACTTATTAATAAGTATAATATTACTAAGGGGCTAGTATAAAGTTAGACTTATTACTTACTAGTAAGCAGTTACGTGCTAGGTTGTAAACACAGTTGTCTGCAGGTGCTAGTAACCCTGTTTCTCTTGTTGCTAGCGCTTGCAGTAGAGAGAGTAAGAGGCTAAATTAAAAGCTTTCTTCTAATCCTAACAGTAAGCTGCTATATATTAAAAAAATATTTTACTTTTATACTAGTTAAAGTAAGTTTAAAGCTTACTTTAAAAAAAGTATTTACTTTTTACTTATATAGTGTCTTAATAGCACTTAAAAAGCAAATAAGTATATACGCTTGTTAGATCTAGTACTTAACTTTACTTAGCTTATTTAATTTAACCTATTACTCTATTAAACTACTAATTAAAAATAATTTAATTGCTTAAAATTCTAGCATTTTAATTTTAGCTTAAAAATTAAATAATATGCTATTTATATAATATAAGTAAAAGGCGTATAAAGTTATATTACTTTTTAGCTTTAGCTAGCAAAATATAACTATAATAATTTAATAGCAGCTATATTACTAAATATAACTATTTATATTAGCATATTATAAGTAGTAATATTATGTAATATTACTGCATAAAAGTTAGTATTAAAAAAAATTAATATTACTAAAGCGCTACTAGTTAGCATAAATAGCTTAGTAAAAGTATATAAAAGGCGCACCTAAAGCACTAAAAGAAGATAAGTATTATTTTAAATTATTAAAAGAGAGTACTTTTTAAAAGTAGCTATTTTTTACTATTACTAGTAGTATAAAGTAAGTACTATTACTTATAACTATGCTTTATATATTAACTTAGTAAATAAAGCTAAATTTTTTAATTGCTAGCGCAACTTTTTTATAGTTAGCTTTTAATAATAGTATACTACTAAAAGTAAAAATAGTATATATTAAACAACTACGTATAAAAACTAATTAATAAATATTTAAAAAAGCTATAGTACTTGCAATGTAGGCTATAGTAATTTTTTCTATACTATAGCTAAAAATAAAATTAAGCTAAATGCTTTAACTTTACTAGAAATAGTAAGTAGCTACTTTTAAAGTAAAAATAGTAAGCTAGGTAAAGTTAGTTTACTATAGTATTTTTATATTTTTAGTACTAAGCAAGAAATATATTATAAATAATAGTAGTTTTTTAAAATAAAAAAATTATATAGCAATGCAGTTTAGCATGCTATAAAATATAAAAAAAAAGTTATAAAAAAGCTTGCTTATAGTAAAATACTAGCTCTCTTAGCTAGTAAAAAGCATAGCTAAATATAGCTTTTTATTAAAAAAAAGCAGTAAAAGTAGCAAAGCTATAAGCTTTTAAATTAAATTAGCTTTACTTATAGCAATAAGAAGTAAGCGCTAGCTAAAGTAGTTTTTTAAAATAGCTAGCAAGTAAGCTATATTACTAAAGCTTTAATTATAATATTAAAAAAACTAGCGCAGCTTTATAGCTTGTAAAGCTAAGCTAGCTTAAGTATATACTAAAAGTATAAAAAAAAGCTTTAAAAGTATAATAAAAAAATTATAGTATAAAGCTAAAGCTAAAGTAGTAAAAAGAAAAAAAGAAAAAAAAAAGCTTTTTAACTATAATATAAGCATTAGTACTACTTATACTAAATATACTAACACTAGTATGCTTAAGCTAGCTAAACTACTATAACTATGTATAAGCGCGTTACACTAAAGCTAAACTACTACTTTTTTAATTTATAGCTAGTAATAAGTTATTAGCATATAATATAAAAGAGAGCGTATTATTATATATAGCTAAAATAACTTTAAGTAAGCTAGCTAAGCTAGTAGTAGCTTAAGTATAGCTAATATTAAACTTAGTAAAGCTAATTTATAGTAAGCTAAGCTATAGCGCTAGTATTTCTACTATATTAGCTGCTATAAATATAGTAGTAAGTATAGTAGCTTTAATAAAATTGCTAAGTGTAGTGCCTATACTATAAGCTTTAATATAGTTAATAGTAGTAAAAGTAAGGCGCAATACAGCTAGTATAAAGTAGATAAAATGCTACTAAGTATAGCTGCTAAGCACTATTAAGCTAAGCGTAGTATAGCTACTATAGTTAATAGTAGTACTACATAAAATAGTATAAATAGTATTACTAGCGCGTATAGTGTTACACAGCTGCTTTAGTACTATAATAATATAGCTTTTAGCTTAGCTAGTACTACTAGCTTAAGTAGTAAAGGCTTAGCAGCGCCTGTTAGTAAATATAGCACGTAGATAACTAAATTTTATATATATGCTAGGCTTTAGCAGCAGGCTTACGCTTATAGCTATAGCTATATTGCATTTACTTAAGCATAAAGTATTATAAGCTAAGTAAGTAGTAATAAGCAATAATAAGCACGCTGTATTAATAGTTAGTATTAAGCTTTTAAGCTCTAGCATGTATAACACGCGCTTTAATATAGTACTACTAGCTATGCTTATTAAAGCGTAGCTATTTAGTACTACTAGTAGCAGCAGCTATATATATACTATTATAGTATATACGCTAGTATAAATGCTTATATAACTTTTACGTAGCTGCTTAGTTATATAGCTTACGCGCTTAAAGCTTTTTTAGTATATCTTTAGTAGCACGCGCTATGCTAAATCTATAGCTTACTTTTTATATAGTAAAATACTAAATAAACTTTTATTTAGCTTATTAACTAGCTTAGTATTAAAGAAGCTACTATACTTATAGTATAACTTGCCTATACACGTGCTGCTAGCATTATAAAGCTTATTTATATTTTATTAGTTATATAGCACTTTGCTTATTGCATCTACGCTACGCTTTAGCAGCTTTTAGTATTTCTCTAGTATGTTAGCCTTCTTAAAAAGCTAATAGGCTATAGAGACAACTACAACACCTTTATTACTCTGCTACAGCGCTTTAGCTTTTTTAACTCTATTTATATTAATAGCTTACTATGCTTTTCTTTGCTGCAAGTATTTAGCAAAGCTTTTTATTATATAGTACTTAAATAATTCTACAGGCAATATAAACTAGCTTACTAACTATTTTACTTAATGCAGCACCTTAACAACACAGGACAAGTTGCTGCTAATTTTAAAAAAGTTGTTGTCTCTGCTAAACTAGCTGTAACCTAGTACCTTGCACTAGATAGACTAAATGCTGTACTTTAACTTAGACTCTACTTTTACGCTACTAGCCTTAATAACTTAGTTAGGCTCTAGGAGCGCCTTGCGATCTACCTTGTTGTTAGGCGTTGTAAAGAATGTCGCTATAAGCAAAAAAAAGGCTAGAATTATGTAGGCTGGCAACTGCTCCCTTAGCTACTAACAAAAGGCATTAGCGTGCTCCCCTTGCACATGTGCCTAGCTTCTTAGTATGTAGTATACTACCAGCCTCTTCCCCTTGCTAATAACAATCGCCTCAGAAACGTCGTTGTAGACAGCTATAACCGCCTCAATGTCCCCCAGCTCAATGCGGTAGCCTCAGATCTTAACCTGTCCATTAGTGCGCCCAAGAAGTTTTAACTAGTCGCCATAGTTAAAACGCGCAAGGTCGCCTGTGCAGTAGACTACGCAGCCGAGGTAGGCGCTCTTAACAAAACGTAACGCTGTCATGTCAGGCATTTTGTAGTATCCCTAGGCTAATCCTGCGCCCGCTATGTGCAACTCGCCCTCGTCCCTAGCTAGCACTAGCTCTAAGCTCTCGCTGAGCACATGCAGTTGATAATTAGAAAGGGGCCGTCCAATAACAACCTCTTCGTCTCGACGCACTTTCCATATGCTTGCCCACACCGTTGCCTCGGTCGGTCCGTACACGTTCCAAACGGATTCGGCGCAGACCAGCAGCTGGGCGGCTAGCCGCTGCGGTAGTTTGTCCCCTCCGCATACAACCTTGAGCAGGCGCGGCTCTCCTTTCCACCCTGCATCCAAAAGCATCTGCCAAGTCACCGGTGTGCCCTGCATAATGGTAATCTCGTAGCGTCGCATAAGCCCGAGTAGCGCTCCCAGGTCCTTGACCTCGTCGGTTTTGGCCATGACTGTTGTTCCACCGCAGATAAGTAGTAGAATCAGTTCCAACACTGCTATATCAAAAGAGATGGTTAGGACAGAGAGCAGACGGTCACCTTCGTCACAACCTAGCTCTTCCTTCATGGCCGCTAATAGGTTACAGAGAGAACCGTGGGTGATTTCCACTCCTTTTAGCTTGCCCGTGGAGCCAGATGTGTATATAACGTATGCCAGATCCTCAGGTAGCGCCCTCGTTCGCATTTCCATCCCACCATGCACTCCTTGGGCAGCACCATCACCATAATCCTAGTCCATGTTTAGGCAACGGCCGCCCCAGAATGACAGCCTTTGCTGTGTATCAACTCCAACAACCACAATCTTTGGTTCTGCATCATCCAACATATGACGGATCCTATCAGGAGGAAATGCAGGATCAATTGGCACGTAGGCGGAGCCAGTCTTCAAGACGGCGAGCATCATCACCACCAGATCCAGAGAACGATCAAGGGCAATACCAACAAGGTCGCCCTTCCTTACTCCTTCCGCCATCAAGATCCAGGCCCAGTAATCTGCGTCATGTTACAGCGTCCCATAAGTTGTTCTCTCTTCTCCACACAAGATGGCTAGCTTTTCTTTGTGTTTCTTTGCAGAGTCTCAATACAAGTCGTGTAGACAAAACCCTAATTTAGTTGTGTCCTTGGTTGTATTGAAGCGATCCATCGCCGTTTTCCAGTCGTTCTTAGAGAATCCAATGTCGCCCATTGTTAGTATGTAAGCTTCGATGCTCTGATTTACCACATGTGTATATTTAGCCTAAATTCCTTCTATTTCAGAGTCAAGATAAAACGATGTTACTCACACACCCTCCCGAAACAGATAATGAAGATTAGCAAACGGCGCTGTTGGAATATAGCAGTCTTAACAATTAAAATTGCAGTATCAGATGACAAGTGTAGGTTATTCGTCAAAAAACAGATCTTGGTAAAGGTTTAGACAAATTCTCATCTTTCATCTTGCGTACAAGGCAAGTCTAAATTTATAATTGCAGTCATCGAAATGCATTCAACGCCATCATTGGCTTGTAGCATGACCCAGACTCTATATAGTCTCTTTTCCTTTTTGCAAAGATCTCAGAACAGAAAACCCACTCATCAGCCCAGACTAGCGTGAGGAGGGCCGAAGCTGTAAACCAATCGTGAACGCAGGGAGTCCGACCCAAAAAATAGGGCAATCAATCTCTTTATTTTTTTCAAAGACTTCAGCACGTAGAGGGATAACGCGTCTGGTGGTATAAGCATTAGGCTCGGACTAGCATGAGGAGAGCCTAGGCGGTAAGCATATACCAAAAGCAGAGAACGAGTCTTCGTATTTTGATTGGATTCAAGGCTCGTCTAATATTGCTTTTGATAAACCAGCAACATAGTTAAAAGGCTTGCGGTCAGTACGATAGTGGAGATTATAACACACTGAAACGTGGAACCCATCGCATCACCGCTGCAAAATGACTTACCCCGAAACCACCGATGCGTTTACCGTCACCTCTATCAATCAGTGGAGCCATTTCACACGCCAGGCTGTAAGTTTACTCTCTTGCTATCATCTCTCGCTAAGGAGTCTAGGTTCCCCTGAAGAGGTTTGAGGAAGACGATATCGATATTGCCGTTGATGCTTGCGGCGTGTGCGCTTCTGATGTCCACACCATCACTGGCGGGTGGAACGAGGATATCCCGCTACCGCTCTGTGTGGGTCATGAGACCATTGGGAAGGTAGTCAGGATCGGTTCCAAAGTCATGGATAAAGACATCAAAATTGGTGATCGAGTCGGCGTTGGGGCCCAAGTGGGTGCTGATCTCGCCTGCGGAACCTGCTTGAGTGGCCATGAAAATTACTGCCCGAACCAACTGGATGCGTACGGGTCTAAGCATCCCGATGGAACCGTCACTCAAGGTGGCTTCTCCAGCCATGTGCGAGTGCACAATCACTTCGTTTTCAGGATTCCAGAAAAGCTGGAAACAAAGCTCGCAGCGCCATTGTTATGTGCGGGGCTCACGACTTATAGTCCTCTTAAAAGACTAGGTGCTGGGCCTGGGAAGAAGATTGCTATATGTGGACTGTATGTACCACCTTCCCAACAATAGGTCAAAGTCTTGGCCTTCTCATCTAGAAACTAACACATCGCTCCATAGTGGAGGCCTGGGTCATCTGGCTGTTCTCTGGTCGGTGGCTCTAGGTGCAGAATGCTACGTTCTTTCCCACTCCTCGCGGAAAAGTGACGATGCGCGTCTGCTTGGCGCCAAAGGGTTCATCGATACTAGTAACTCAGACTGGAGTTTACCTTGGAAGTCGAAGTTTGACCTTATTCTGAGCTGTACTGGCGCTGTCGACCGTTTTCATTTGCCTGATTACTTCTCTACACTGACAACTTTTGGAATTTTCCACATGGTTGGCCTACCGGACAATCCGCTTCTACCGCTTGAGACCCAAGCTTTTGTGCCAAACGCATGTTCACTGAGCGCCTCAAACATAGGAAATCGTACGGAAATGATTGAAATGCTAAGCCTCGCTGTAAGAGCTAATATACGGCCTTGGGTAGAGACCATAGATATCAGTGAGGACGGATGCAAGGAGGCTGTCGAAAGGGTGCACAGTGGCGATGTGAAGTTCCGCTTCACATTAGTTGGCTATGACGCAGTGTTCGGCCAGAGGATATAGGGACCAGCAGTCCTTAATTGCGCTTATATGGAGCAGCATAAGTTGTTCGTCGGTACAAAACAATTTTCAAGTCGATGCCAAGGCACATTGTTCTTCTTCAAACCTCTTTCGAGGACGTTTCTTTCGCTTTGTGCAACGTGGCGAGAAGAAGAAGATGAAGGATGTGCCCCCTTCCATCTATCCACAATATATTAGAGAAAACAAAAAATTAGATGCCTAGAGTTAACTCAGCAGTAATTGTATAGCATTGAGAACATAATTCGTGTACAGCACAAATTCGAGGTGGGCGCGTGGACGACTACCTTGTCCGAACGCCTGCAATGGGAAATCTGAGACCCCCCATCTAATCTTTGATGGTACTAAAAGGAAAGATTATTGGTCTATGCAATGAGATACTTTTGATGTGTTCAGCTAATAAGGCTTCATGTACGTTGACGTTGTCACATATGTCGACTGTGCTCGGGGTCATGTTTTCTATCCTATCAACACGAGGATCATCAAGGTTGCATCGCAAGGTTGCGGAGTGCACATCAGTCTTTTACCGACTGACTCAATCGAGATAGAGAATCAATTCGATCCACAGCACCCTCCTCCGGGCAATACTCCCAAAGGCGGTGTAGCTGAAGAGTAGGGAGCCATCTAAGTTCTTTTTGAGCGGCTGGAAACTTAGTACATGCATTGTGCATAGACACAGGGGCGCACGCTCGCTTTGGCTATCCAGCATAATGTTGCATGGGCTTAGATTTTGCACCACGCATGAACTGATGTCCATCAGTCAGCCGAACCTAGTTAGAGTTCCAGAGTTATGGATGCGCACCATCTGCGTCAGGTGGAGGGAACTCCAATCAATACCCAACGAACAATTTAGCTTGATTTGTTTTGGCATAGACATTGGCCTAAATGCAGAACCTGAGTAACATCTAATCGAACAATCATTGTTCATCTATATAAGATAAGCAGACGCCAGCGTGCTACCAACTCGATCCCTAATCCTGTCGTGCCACTCCAACATGAAATATCATTCAGCAACTTCGGATTCCCAGCAGAAGCAATCGGACATCAATGCCAATCAGACAGTGAGCTCATGCCTCTTTAACTGTGGGCAGGCTTCTCCTATCCAGACTTCGGACAACAATGCTCGAGATATGATCGTTACATCTAAGGGGTCCAAAACTGCCGAACGCAATGAAGGTCATGATATACTACCAAATGAGACTACTTCTTTGCTGGATGGAGACACACCCTTCACTTATGGTGTTGCAGACCATATGCATCGGAGCCCTACTTGGCGAGAAGAGTTCAAAGTACTATTGAAGTCCTCGGGTCCTCTTATCATAACATTCGTTTTACAGTACTCACTTCCGATAGCTAGTATTGCGACCGTAGGACGCATTGGAAAGATAGAGATGGGGGCTGCCAGTCTAGCAAGCAGTAGGTTGCTTCTCTTTGGCCACCTACTACTGTATCACTGACTGAATTTTCATTAGTGTCAGCGTCGATCACTGGATACGTCGTGTACACTGGCTTAGCCTCTTCACTCGATACACTTTGCTCGCAAGCGTACGGCGCTGGACGCTTTCATTTAGTTGGCCTTCACTTTCAGCGCATGCTATGCTTTCTTTCGATCGTTACTCTACCAATTGCCGCGCTATGGTTCCTGGCTACCCGCATCCTCTTGGCCATTGTTCCCGCAGAAGAAGAAGAAACCGCGCGTTTGGCGGGTCATTACCTTAGGATTCTTGTCATAGGGACGCCCGCCTATGCTACTTTCGAAGCCGGCAAACGCTACCTGCAAGCCCAAAGTCTATTCAACGCCACAATGTATATCCTACTCGTATGCGCTCCGTTGAACGCTCTCATGCACTACTTATTTGTCTGGAGGTTATGGGGGTTCGTAGGCGCTCCGGTTGCCGTCGTTGTTACCCATAACCTGATGGCCATTTTACTCATACTATATATCCGATTTTCAGACGGATATCAGTGTTGGGGAGGATTCGACCGCAGCGCATTTTCAAACTGGATGCCAATGATAAAGCTCGCTGTGCCTGGGCTCATCATGCTTCTCGCAGAATTCCTCGCGTACGAAGTTTTAACACTTTCCGCAAGTAGACTCGGTTCTACATCGCTCGCTGCTCAGAGTGTTCTTGCAAGCATTACAACAATTATGTTTCAGGTGCCGTTTTCGATGAGCGTTGCAGCCTCCACACGAATTGGGATCTTGGTTGGGGCAAGGAAGCTAAGCAATGCCATGTTTACAGCCAAAGTAACCACAGCCTATGCAGCTTTTGTTGGCCTCTTCAATTTCCTTTTCATGGTTGTTTTGAAAGGATATATTCCACGTGTGTTCACGCACGATCAAGACGTCGTCAATCTTGTATCGAATATTTTACCTCTATGTGCGGTATATCAGGTGCTTGATGCATGGGCATGCCACTGTAATGGAATTTTAAGGGCTACAGGCAGACAAAAGATCGGTGGGATTGTGGGGTTGTTTGCATATTATATTGTAGGATTACCAATCAGCATTGGAACCGGGTTCAGCGCTGGATGGGGTATATTTGGTCTTTGGACCGTAAGTAACTCCCTCGACCTTAACCGATGTGAACTAATTCTTGTACAGGGCATTGCAATCTCTCTTGGGTTTGTATTTGTTCTCGAGAGTATATTGATATATCGTATCAGCTGGACGAAGGTTCTAAAAGAGGCAGATAAACGAAACTGTATAGGATAGTAACAGCACTTGAGAACTTGAGATGAATCACCTCTGATATGCGCAAAGTACGTCGGGACACCATACGATAATTCGGTCGGTTTTGGAAGTCGCTATTATATGATTATGTCTCTTCAAGACTCTCAATGTTATACTTTTGTAACGCTTACTATCGATTTTTATGTGCTGAGTGAGCACTGTAGTAAAATATGTTCTAAAAAATTGGTGATTCAAAAAGGCGGGTCGTCCCGTTGACTAAAGCATCACGTGTAAAAATTACAGCAAAATGACGTCACTAGTAGTTAAGTGTTTCATTCGCAACTCTCCAATAACCGCGCCTTTCTCAATCGTCCACACCACATCCCTCTTCAATCTACAACACCAACCAAGCCATCATGTTTCGCCAGGCTCTCCTCCCACGCACTGCCTCGCGCTTCGCCGCCCCGCTCCCGACGCGCTTTGTCCACACGACACCCGCATACCGCCTTGCTGCCAAACACACGCAAGACAAGGATTCGCTAGACCCGCAGTCTAATGAGTACTCCAAGTCCGGCAGCGACCAAGCGACTGCATCATCTTCCGCAGCATTCGATCCCCAGACAACGAGCCCGGAAGGAGCGGAGCGCCAGGCTGAGCAAGAGGGCGGCGGCAACTCGCTAGATGTCAGCCCCGGGAATGCGGATGTCAGTCAGTCTAGAGGTGATCAAGAAGGTGGAGCGCAGGGAAGCCCAAGAACGAGCGCGAGTGGAGGTGGCAGCCCGCCGAAGGCTGGAGGTGGCAAGAGTGGGTAGAGAGAAAGAGATTTGTAGGGGCCTGAGATGAGATGGGGACGTACATGTATATAGCCTCGTGTAGGACGCGTGTGGACAGGCGTGATATGCAGGCATACGAACCGCAACAAACTCCTTGACAAAATAACAATAATATTTCACTGTTTTGTCTCTCCACCTTCTTAAATAACCCAAGGTGGCCTACTTGAAGTTGATTCGAGGCTATGGTGATTAATAAGATCGGACACAACGCCGTACAACAAACGTTGCGCCAGGAGATTTACTACAATCACCCACCAGAGGTTGTGTGATGGCTGCTCATCCATCCCCAGCAATTTGCATCTTTCAGCTGGGGTTACTACTAGCTACTATACATACTTATGTATGTAGTCTTGTTGCATGCTGCTGAGACATGATTCGCCCGCGGAGTCGGCCTCTTCTCCGTCTAGTAAGTACTTAATGCCCCGCGCTGACTGTACACTCGTCTTACGGTGTCTTTGATATATGAAGTCCAACCCCGTTATGAGCGATATATCTAAATCTTCCCTTGTGTTCTGAATTCTTTCCATGGGGGTTTGCCTGAAAAATATTTCGAATTTGTTGCAGTACTTTGTGTGACGCGCGATTCGCTCTTTTGCTTCGATATCGTCGGGGTTGCTGGACTAGATCGAACCTATAACCCGCCTGGAGGAATAACCTGTATATCCTGTCCGTGGGAAGCAATACGCAGCTCAACTGAACTACCTCATCCTTAGTGGTGACGTTCTAAACGAGATTCCTGGCTGTGTTGTCAAGCTTTGGTCAAAGTCAGCAAGAGACGAGCCAAGGATTGATAAGACGACCATTTGTTATCTTCATCGCGGGATAATTGAACTGAACTCGAACCGCTACTTCGCTTACACTTCTGGGCTCATCACTTCCTCGTATCATCACAACGACTCCCTGGGCGCGCGATGACTACTCCAACGTGGATACCTCCAACTCCACCGGACCCCTTTGAGCTACGCAACCCTCCACCGTTCGCACCCTTTCCTTTACTGCACCTCCGCACTGGAAAGGTAAAATCGGCATGGAAACCCGGCATGGAGACCGGCATTTTTAAGACAGCGCATACGGCACCAATAGAGATATCGAAGCAAGGCCTGGTCGGAGACGAGCACGCCTACGAAGAGCACCGGCATCCGGACAAAGCAGTGCACCATTACTGCGCCGCTCACTATGATGCCTGGGCTAGCGAGATTCCAGAGTCGGCCCATCTATTCAGGGGTGGAGCGTTCGGAGAGAATTTATTCAGCAGTGAGGTTTCAGAGCGGACCATGTGTATTGGAGATAAGATCGCGTTGGGCGATGAAGTGGTATTGGAGCTGACTGAGCCTCGACTGCCGTGCTACAAGCTCAACCACCGCTTCGAGGTAAAGAACATGGCTGTGAGGGTGCAGACGTTGCTAAGATGCGGCTGGCTCTACCGTGTGCTAGTTCCGGGAACGGTGAGGCCGGGAGATATGGTGAAGTTGCTTGAGCGCCCTTCTCCGGAGTGGACGGTAGCGAGGGTCATGTACTATCTCTTCATCGAGAGGGCCAACCTGGAAATGAATAGAGAGATTGTCAAGTTGCCCGGCCTCGGCGAGGCCATCGTCGACAAGTTTTCCAAGCGCATCGCCAAAGGGGAAGCCGAGGACGAGTTGGAGCGGCAATTTGGAGGAGAGCCTGAGAAGATGGATACATGGTCCTCCTACCAGATTGTCTCAAAACATCGCGAGTCTTCCACCGTCATGTCCATCACCCTTGAAACCGTAGAAACCATACCTGAGGATAACACCTACACCATCGAGCCGGGAAGTCACATCCGCGTCAAGCTCGGAGGCAAGCTCGTCCGCGCATACTCTATCGTTAAGGGCACAAACGCTTGTTTCACGCTCGGCGTCGCGCTCGACCCGGAAAGTCGAGGAGGATCGTATTTCCTGCACCACGATGCAAACGTCGGCGACGTGCTGACTGTGAGCCGCATTGCGTGCACATTCCCGCTCGCTCTTAACGCCGATAAGCACATTCTCATCGCGGGCGGTATTGGTATAACGGCTTTTGTCGCTGCGATAAAGCACCTGGAGACTACTTCGCAAGCGTGGGAATTGCACTTCGCCGTCGCTGACGCGGTTCCTTTCTTGAAGGAGATCGAAGGCATGGTGGGAATCGGAACAAATAAAGTGAGAATCTACCGCAAATCCCAGGGAAAGCGCATGGATCTGTCTTCCATCGTCGCACGCGCAGACACAAACACACACATCTATACTTGCGGACCAGAGCGCCTCATGGACGCCGTCGTGTCCACAGCGAAGATGTACGGTGTTCCCGATACCTCGGTGCATCTAGAAGCGTTTGTGGTGTCGACGTCTGGGGACCCTTTTACCGTGGACTTGAAACAGAGTGGGAAGACGGTCGAGGTGGGCGCCACGGAGACCTTGCTAGATGCGCTGAGAAAGGTGGGCCTGGATGTCGCGAGTAGTTGCGAAGTTGGAAACTGCGGAACGTGTAGAGTGGAGGTTTGTGGGGGGCGTGTGGAGCATAAGGGAACAGGATTAGATGTGGCGGAGAAGGAAGATGGGGGGATGTTGAGTTGTGTCAGTCGCGGGATCGGGAGAATCGCACTGGACTTGTGATTAATTTTTCTCCCCTGCAACTCTTGAACAAGTTTGTTTATTTTCAATGTCAACATCTGTTTAATTTGTTATCTTGTTACATTCTGAAAACGGGGTAAGTGCCTCTCTGACAAAGGAGAGAGAAGAAGAGACTGGGACAAGGTGACTGATATGTTACGGCATCAGTCTCGAAATCAAAGATGTTATTGAGTAACAAAAAATAAGTGATTTATCCGAACCTCCAGCCATGATGTAACTAGGGAAAGAACGCCGTTACCCAATGCATCGCCGATCAAACTGGTTCTCTTCTCTCTACATCTTCCCATTGTAAAACCACGCCCCGGCAAGTGGCCAACCAAGCACAAACGCCAACGTGGGCAAGACTCTGTATTAAAAATTATGTCAGTGTTTAGTTCAATCGACAGAAGAAAAAGGGGAGGGGAAACATACAGAACACCAGTCCTGGCTATCCTCTTTGGGTAGTTCGCCCAGGGAATTGTAGCAGACGCCATGGTGACTGGTCTGCGGCCGTACGGGTGCGGCTCGGTCAGGTAGAGAGCAGCAGAGCGCAAGAAAGAAGGTTTGGGTGTTGGGGAAGGCATTATTGCGGTCGGCGGGGTGTTTGTTATTCTGATGTGCGATACACCAGAGATGTGTTGCAGTAAAGCTCTATTGTGTTGTCGTGTTTGAGAGGAGATGAAGACGCGAGTGGTGTATCACTTTTGTCTAGCCGTCCGAAGAGAGTAATATGATGGAGGGGAGTCAAATGTAGAGTGGAGAGTCGTTGACGACTGAGTGATGAATTGATCGGTTGATATGATTGAGTGGAGGGTGATGACGAAGATAGTGACAGCTTCCTTGGGCCTTGGAGATATATACACTTCTCCCGCCATTCTACGACAGGAAAAACTGATGGACATGTTTTCTCCATCATCACACCACCATGAATCTCACCTGATGGGCCATCCCAAACCTTGGTCATCATCGACGACTGCAAGCTGGAGGCCGTGCATTGATATGAGCCATGGCAGTCTAAACTCGATTAGCTACACGGACAGGAGTTTGCGTGGTGGGCTGACATTGATTGTTCAGGCACTCGCGAGATGGTGGTGTGATGTTGCCGTGTTCTCTGGGGCGGCGGCTTTCGGCTGGGGCCGGGGCGCCTTAGCAGCCCGACTGTTCGGCGGAGCGCCCATCACCCCACTGGACTCACATATTCATGCAGGCCTACTGAGGCAGATCGTTGGTTAATGAACTTACGATGACGCTGAATCTAGTCTTTGCGTGCTGCGTACTTGGTGTTTTGGGGCTCTTGGCTTCCTATATCTGATCATGTCCAGCCATTGGCCAATCAGACACAGCAACTTCTGAACTTGACCAATGATGCACCCAGACTCCCTCGCATTTCATTATCATCCACGTTTGGGTGATATGATTGGTCAACATGATTTAATTCCGTCCGTCTCATCCTAATGTCACACAACCACCTCCCTCCAACCCCTATGCTCTCATCTACCCAAGAAACATTCATGGTGACCAGGAACCTCACCGATGCTCTTCTGTCTGGGAACGCTTACCAATCTTGTATTCGAATGTACACTCTATAAGCATGTGGCAATGAACAAACTAACCGGGGTTTCCCTACCACATCAAGCAGCACGACTTGCGCGGCAGCAGCAGATTCTATACTCAATTTGATTGATTCGATCACGACGACGTTGAAGTCGTACATTCTACCTCCATACAAAGATTACGGTTGACCTTGGAAGTATCTCACCCTGAGAGAGAGAGTAAAAGAAAGCACCGTTCCAACCGCAGGAACTCAGAGCGTAACAACACTAGCCTCGACAACGCCCTCAGGTCCAATCAGCCCTTGGACAACGTCATCTCCAACCGGTCGATCTACGCCCAATATCATCAATGCCTCATTCCCCGCATCTGCTTTGTTTCCACCCTCGTTCGTAGCTTCCGCTTCCTCGACATCATCATGCAGTGGCGCCACGTTCATGAACTTGATATTAACCCCCGCTTTACCCAACAGAGACCCCACAAAGCCAATCTTCCCGCAGCTGTCAAAGTTCCGACAGATTAGCAGCGTACCTTTTGGCACAAATTCTCCTTTAAAGCGGTCGAGGCGCGAGATGAAGGGCTGTGTCCCGGATACGAAACCCTGGATGACCTGATCTTCTGCATCGTTCTTCCCGATCGGGGTGCTTCCATCGACACCAGTTAAAGATGTGGTTGGCGAAAGGAGGGTACGCGCTGCAGATGGGGAAGTCGAGCGAGAGATGTTCTTATCCGAGCGAGCGTGCGAGGTGGATCGTGAGGCGCGTGCGCGCAACGTGATGAAGGACGAGTAGGGTTTGTCTTCTACATTTTCACGACTGCGGTGCTCGTTGATGAGAATGCCGCGATGCTTGGCGACAAGCTCAGCGTTGACTAGATTGATGTTGAGCCCGTCCGAGGACGTGATGGGGGACAGAAGACCCTTGACAAGGCCGGCGAAGAGAGGTTTGGTGGTGTGCAAGTTAGTCAGCGCCCCTTCGTATGTGATGTCGAAGGTGGTACGAAACGACTGTGCATTGACCCGATTCGAATAGTGTTGCGTGTAGAGGGAGCCCATCTTCTCAACAAGTGACACGAAAGGTTGCAAGGTGCGATACTCCTCGGGAAGGATGATGGGCGCGTTGACGGCGGAGCGGGGGAGCTCGCCGCTGAGGATGGAAACAACCTGTTCGCATACATCTATCGAGACGTTTTCTTGAGCTTCTTTGGTTGAGGCGCCGAGATGAGGAGTGGCTACGACTTTGGGGTGCGCGATCAGGCGTGTTGCGCTGGATTCTGCTTCCGGTGGCTCGGATGTCCACACATCGATTCCAGCGCCTGCGATGGTTCCGTCATCCAGGGCCGCGAGGAGGGCATCCTCGTCAATCATGCCGCCTCTTGCCACGTTCAAGATGCGAGCGGTGGGTTTCATTGTCGCAAGTTCGGCTTTACCAATCATGCCCTTGGTAGAAGCAATAAGAGGCGTGTGCAAGGTAAGGAAGTCTGCTTCTTGAAGAAGTTCGGCTAGAGTGGGAAGAAGTGCGACAGATGCAGCAGCTGCGAGAGACTCGGAAGCGTAAGGGTCGTATGCTAAAAGACGCATACCGAAGCCATTTGCAATGCGAGCTACAGTAAGCCCGACTGATATGATTCAGCAAGAGTCGCCACCGTTTGAAGAATACGGTCCTTTACCTTTTCCCAAGCCCACGATAGCTAGCGTTTTGCCCTTTGCCTCGACACCTACGAGACGGCTACGTTCCCATTTCCCGGCTTTAATACTCGAGTTGGCCTCGCCAATATTTCGCGCAACAGACATGAGGACTGTATATTCGTACATCAGTCACTAGGGGCTTGGAGCACAGGAGTCCCCAGAATATAGGGCTGAATGTACTTACGTGCCACAGTGTGCTCAGCTGCGGCATTGATGTTGCCGATAGGGCTGTTCACAACAATAATGCCCAAACTGGTCGCGACTTTGACGTCTACATTGTCGACACCCACGCCGGCCCGCGCAACGACCTTGAGTTTCTTCGCAGCCTGGAGCAGGTCCGCGGTGACTTTGGTTTCAGAACGAACGATCAAGGCTTCGTAGTCGCCAATGATTGTCTTGAGCTCTTCGGCAGATAAACCCTTCTTCTCGTCGACATGGAAGCGATCTTTGAGCAGAGCAAGGCCGTCCGGCGAGACCTTTTCTGGGATGAGGATTCGCGGTTTGAGGGTGGGTATCGTCATGGTGGAGAGTGGCCAGGTTGCGGGGAGTGTGAGTTCAGAGATAGTCAGAGAATGGGGAGGGCAGCAATGGTGAATCAAGGACTAGAAGGAAGAGGAGAAGGGCAGAGGAACGGACAGCACTATGTATATGCCATGCGAAGAGACAGGCCGAGGGTCCCGCTATCGGGCATAGAGATGAAGGGTTAGTTACAGCACGCTGTCAATCTGTTGCGCAGTGCATGCAGACTCGCTTTGTCTCTAGGGAGCTTACTGCTGTTGGTTAGGAAATGCAATCAACGTGCTATAGGAAGCTACCCCGCCCCCGCCTTTCCCCCGCGGGTACCTGCACCCCCACACGTTCACAGGTTGATATTACGCCATTGCCCGTCAAATCCACCTCATGGGCGGTGTCAGGGCCTGCTGGTTGCGTTCAAAGGTTAGGTGGATTTGAAATCGACAAGACACGGCAGGTGTACACAAGCTGCTCGTCCGGTAATTCATGTATTCACCCTCGTCATGCTGTCTGAGCTGTCAAATGTACATACAAGGAATCAGAGGACAGCATGCATCTCGCGCAGCAGAGGCTAGAGGCACGCGTGCTGCCAATGTGCGTGGCACACATCACCAGTTGGCTCGCTTCTTGAACTTCTCGTTTTGCACCACCTCGATCCAATATCCGTCGGGATCTGTACGTGGGTCAGCATCAGTGCGTACGCGTATTCTTCAATTGCAGCATCAACATACCAAGCACAAACGCAATTTCCTTCATCCTGCCATCTGTGAGCCGCTTCTTCCAGTTGACCTTCTTTTCCTCGAACCGGGCACAAGCCGCATCCAGATCATCAACGGAGATGCAAATGTGGCCGAAGCCTTGTGGCTCCGCGTTCCCATCGTGATATTTGAAGTTGGCGTCTTTCTCAGTTCCATAGTTCCACGTGAGCTCCAGAAGACCCTCGTGGTCCGCCGTTGGGCTGACCCCCTCGGGGGTGTTCTCGGCAACCGGTCCGCCGTAGCCCAGAAAATACAAGTTGAAACCTGCCGATTCCATCTCGTGCTTGCGCATAAGCTGCATGCCCATAGTCTCTTGGTAAAACTTGAGCGACACCTCGGCGTCCTTTACGCGTATCATGGTGTGGTTCATTCGGTAAGTAGTGGGGTCCGTCTCTTTTACGTTTTCCGTCTTCTCGAGCGGTTTCTGCCCAATAACCTCGACCCAGTAACCATCCGGGTCCAGGACAAAGGCAACATGACGCATCCTGCCGTCGGTCAATTTTTTCTGAAACTTGTATCCCGCATCCTCTATCCTCTGGCATGCTGCCTGGAGGTTGTCTACGGAGATGCACACGTGGCCAAAGCCGCGGTGGGGCTCCTGATTGCCATTGGCGATTTTGTAGTTGGGGTCATCTTCGGTGCCATAGTTGTGCGTGAGCTCGATGATGCCTTCGCGATCGGTGAAATGGTTTCCGTGAGAGACAGCTTTGGAGCTGTCATAGGCAAGGAAGTAGAGATCGAAATTGGCGTCAGGGTTGGGGAGCTTCTGGATCACCTTCATGCCCAAGAACTCGTAGAACTGGACCGATCGCTTGGGGTCTTTGACCCTCAGCCTTGAGGCGTTAGTTCCGAACCATGGCAAATCCAGTGAGGAGAGGCTTACATGGAGTGGTTGAGCTTGTACTTGCTGGGCTCGGTCGACATGGCTGCGGTTGCAAGTCGTCGGAGGGGCAGACTGTTTGGGCCAAAAGCTGGTCTGGACAGGTGAACTGCAAATCTAAGTGCACCAATGGGAGTTTTTTTGGGAAAGAACATCCACTATCAAGATGATTGAGGTTGTATATGTGGTGATGTAGTGGTAGAAGTAAGGAAGCAGCTTGACACCGCTAAAGTGCCGCCGCCGCCGCCGCTGTTTTTTAAGGGTGACGACATGACATCGGTGGACCGTTAAGTCATGTTGACCCCACGTTTCGGCTTTTACTCGGCTGGAGACGTCAGCGAGCTTGACAGACATAGGTACATATGTACCCAGGTACGTGTACAGGGCGAAGAAGCACACAGAATACCTAGGTAAGTAAGTTGTGTGGTGATTTGAGATGCTTCAACGGTTCGGGCCATGCTTTCCAATGGCCCCTTCACCATCAAAACCTGATGGCTCTGACGACTCACAGCCAATCACAACTATGTCAGCCATGCGGGGTCTACATGCACCCATAGGCACGTGACCAAGCTACCCCTGGCCGTTGATTAGCGAAAGTCGTTCATTCTCGACTCCGCGGTCCCAGCCTGCCTGCAGCAACACTACGTACTTATCCACCGCAGCATCATGCTAGATTCCCCCATAATATCTCATACTGTCCTTCACTTCTTCTCTTACTTTTCTTTGTACGCCCTCTGAGTTGCCGTATCCTCCTTTGGGTGCGCCTACACCACGCCAACACGCTCCAAGAGGCTGCCGCGCACTTATAAGCTGCACCACAACGGGCGACGGTGTTGGTCATCGAGTCTACACGTAATTCACTTACTTGTATGTTAGAGGCGTCTCTTTACTTCTAATTCTGTATCCAGCAAATGTTTCTGAACTTGGATCAAACATCAAAAGAGTTGGTGCAACCCGACTGCACTCGCATCGTCAAAATCTGTCGCCCTGGTATTTGCCAAATGCGAACACCAGGCCCACCTTTGACCAGCATATCCATCTAACCCAAATAGTCCATCACTTCGATATGCTCAACGCCCTCAGGCTCAGCGAGCTACTCGCCAAAAATGCGGATCCCCGCCTGTATCCACGCATCTTGTAGGGCTCCTTTCTTACTGTATCCCTGCTGTGCGCCCTCGCCCTCATGCTCACGTGCGCAGTGTGATGTCGCCGAACGGCACTCTGATGGCCTATTCCACCCCTGTCGACATCAAAGAACTGCGAGACCAGGCAGCCCTAATCTCCATGGCTTGGAGAGAGCACTCGTCGCAATCTTCATCTTCTACAAATCCCCAGTCTCCAACGTACGTTCCGGACAACGAGCCAGATCCCCAGGCCAAGCTGGAAATCCTCACCATCGAGACCCAACACAACAACATCATTGTACGGGCTATTCAGCCTTCGCTCCTTCTTATCCTGGTGGGCACCGTACCCCCTTCCCGGAAGACGGTGTTCAGCATCACCCCAGAGTATGAAGGCGATTCTAGATACCCTCCCGAGGAGGAACCATTTTCCTCCTCGCATGGGGACTCTAATTCTCCTGCGGCAGTGGTCTCTGTTGGTACGCCGGGGGGATCGGATCGAGGAAAGAAGAGAACACCATCTATTCTCAGCACCATGAGCACGCGCGATAAAGACGTAAAGCTCGGTGCCTTGCACATTCAACGCAAGAAGATCGACGCATTGACAGCATTCATACGGAAAGATTTTGATGCCAAGGGCTTTGTGATGCCGGATGATTCGACATTTCCATGACCTGGATATCTGGGGGGGGGGGGGGGGGGGGGGGCCTGTGTGCTCCTCGCTCTTTAGGTTCTTGTTTCCAGCACAGGCGCTGTTCGGAGTTTGATTGTTTTGTGTGCATGCAGTCATTGGTATTCGATGACTCTGTTCTAGGGTTCTGCTTAAAACACATTGGTAATACCTCATGTATGTATGGTGGATTGATTACTGTTTCGTTGCTTCGGCCCATGTTCTTGTACTGTAGTATTAGCCGATAAACAGGAGTCAAAGAGGTAGCAGGAGGGTGGCACAATGCGAAACTTTGTAGATTCAGATACGCTTGTTTTGTACGTTATGTCTATGGATTATTCGGAGATATATACCTAGATATGGATGTGTTCAGGGTTTTCGTCTGAGCCTCGGGCTTGCCTCGAGATCACGTGATCGTCACTGGCAGCCACCTGTTTTGAATGTCAATACAGCATCCTCGATACCCAAGATCTGGAAGCTTGTAGAGTTGATACGAGGCAGCATATAGCCGATAAAAATACAGAAAATAATAGAAACACGTAAGCACCCAGCAGATGATGCTCGATCAATCAAACATTGAAGATTCGTCTGAACATTCAAATCTCAAATGCTTGGATGTCCCAATGTCCAGATGTCGTTATCGATAAAGCACGTGCCGAGGGCTGGACCCGCGAATTGCGTGATCGGCGCTAACGACTTTTTTTGTCTGGGGACAGCCAAAGATGTCAACAAAAAAGGATGCATTAACTGATTACCCCAACAACCGCCCAATCATGCCGCCTGCTTTGCCGTATCTACCACTTCAATTCGCCTTGGGGAACGACCTCGGCCGGGAATATCTTTTCCCCGATATCGCTGCCCCAGAATGAAGTGCTTCTATGCGGCACATAGAAAGAAAGGTCCATCCGCTGCGCTTTTCATCCCACCACCACCCTCATTCGCCGCTGCGTGTAGGGATTCGTCTCTCCGAGCATCATGCATTCCCATAAGTCATCCAGCTTGCCCTTTGGCCAGGACATCTCCCTCGACTCCATCAGCGGTCCCACATATCTGACGGCTCAGACGCTGGTCCAACAGGTCGCCTACACCCTCTCCGACAAGGTCTTTGCGTACTCGGCCGAATCCTTTGATCTCGATGTAGCCCTCAAGCATTGGCATGAAACCCGTAACAAGAATGCTTTTGGCTACCCGACGGGCATCACATCGCTTGAGACCCGAACCGGCGCCGGCTCCATCGCTCTAGGCTACATTTTCTCCAAGGACTTTGACCTGAAGAAGAGACACATTCCCCAATCCATTGTGGCTTCTGCTGCTACCCTTCGCTCTCTTCGCCCCGCCCTCGACCAGCTATCACTACTCTACAACGTCGCGAACCCCCTTACCGTTCACGTTGCTGCCGTCGACTACAACTCTACCGGCCTTGTCACCGACTATGTATCTGCACTTACCCTCGCCGAAGATCTGGGCCTCGGTTTGGTCTGCAGCCCCTCTGTATTCGAGACTCAGCACATGGCCCTGTTTGCCACGCTGCTCTCCAGTGTGCTCCCCACCATCCACACGTACGATGGCATCAGCGTCGGTCGCGAGACCGCCCGATTAGTGGACACACTCGACCAGGCTCGACTGTACAACAGCTACAAAGCGGTGCTCGAGGCAGTTTCCGAAGTGGACAAGAAGCATTCGGATCCTGCTGGTCGTGTCGTACGTCTACTCCAGGCTTTCAATGACGATTTTGGCGAGGACTACAAGTTATTTGATTACTACGGTCACGAGGAGCCTGAAAGCGTTTTGGTCGTCTTCGGTACCGTGGAGGCTTCTTTGACTGCTCAGGTCGCAACGGCGCTTTCAAAGGACGGTGACAAGCTCGGTGTGATCAATGTTCGCGTCTACCGTCCCTTTGTGGAAGAGGCTTTCCTCGAAGCCCTCCCCAAGAGCACGCGCAGTGTTGCAGTCCTTGGTCAAGTCGACGATGAAGCTGCCGTCTTCGATCCGGCCGAGTACTCCCGCCTCTACTCGGATGTTCTCGCTGCTGTTCAATTTGCCTTTGATAGACAAATCGATGTCACCGATATCAAATACTCGCGAGAGCAGGTCTGGACCCCCAGCAATATCCTAGATGTGTTCCAGCAAGCCTACGGCGAAAAGACCCAATCGGAGGAGGTGCGCTCCTATGTCAACATCTTGAACACAGCCGATGTCAAGCAGTACACGTTCTGGGACTTGGATGAGTCACCGGCTGCCACTGCCCCGGGCGCGCTTGGCAAGCTCTTCTCCTCCGACTCTGCCAAAAACGTCTTTGTACGTTCCGGCCATGACAACCTCGTACAAGGCGGTGTCGTTCGCACTGACATACGAAACGCCGATTACACAATCGAAGCCCCCTACTCGGTCGAGCAAGCTGATGTCACATTTATCGGAAGCGAGTCTTTGCTCAGGGAATTCGACATCCTCAACAGTGTCAAGCCTGATAGCTCCATCATCGTGAAACTGCCTGGTGTCAAGAACGAGGATATTGAAGCAAAACTCTCGCCTGCTTTGCGCAAAGTCATCGTAGACAAGGATGTAGAACTTTTTGTGTTGGACCCAATCCTCTCCGAGACAGTGGCCCAGGACCCCACGCTCGAGTCATATCTAACACAGCTCGCTTTCCTCAAGATCGCACGCGAGGACCTGCTGACGTCCGGACTGTCCAAACTCTCCGCCATCAACGGCACACCTGATGTGTTTGAGAAACTCGCTGGTGAGCTTGATGCCACTCTGCGCGAGATTGAGTGCCCCGTTGAGTGGGCTACCGTTGGGGAGGATGTCGAGCCCATCCGACTTCCGTCTGATATCAACATCAACAGCTTTGCTGCCTTTGACCGTACTGAGATTGAGCCACCAACCTACCTGAAAAATTGGACTGTTGCTGCTAAAGGTCTTGCTTTCAAGGAGGCCTACGGCACTGAAATTGCGCTGCGCCCCGAACTCGGCATCAAGACCGCCGTTGTCCATGTCAAAGAACGCCGCCGTCTGACGCCTCAGAATTATGACCGCAACATCTTCCACATCGAATTCGATCTCGGTGATTCTGGCGTGACATATGCCATCGGCGAGGCACTGGGTATCCACGCCGAGAACGACAAGGCCGAAGTCGAAGAGTTCATCAAATGGTACGGTCTCAACCCGGATGAGGTAGTTGAGGTACCTTCTCGCGAAGACCCCCATGTGCTGGCGAATCGCACCGTTTACCAGTCATTGCTCCAAAATGTGGATATCTTTGGTCGCCCACCCAAACGCTTCTATGAAGCCCTCGCTGAGTTTGCTTCGGACGAGAAAGAAAAGAAGGAGCTGCTCACGCTGGCTGGACCCGAAGGAGCCACTGAATTTAAGCGTCGTGGCGAAGTTGACACTGTCACATATGCCGACATCCTCCTTGAATTCCCCTCGGCTCACCCCTCCTTCCACGACATCGTGCGCATCGTCTCACCTATGAAGCGCCGAGAGTACTCTATTGCCTCGTCGCAGCATGTCACTCCGACCTCCGTGTCCCTTCTCATTGTCACTGTCAACTGGGTCGACCCGCGAAAACGCGACCGCTTCGGCCAGGCTACGCGCTACCTCAACTCGCTCGCTCCCGGTACGCCCGTCACTGTATCTGTCAAGCCCTCTGTTATGAAACTGCCACCCAAAACTACAGCGCCAATCATTATGGCAGGTCTCGGAACCGGTCTCGCGCCCTTCCGCGCTTTTGTCCAAGAGCGCGCTTATCAGAAGCAGCAGGGACATGAGATCGGCGCCGTACTGCTGTACATGGGATCCCGCCACCAGCGCGAAGAGTACCTCTATGGTGAAGAGTGGGAAGCCTACCAGGATGCTGGCATCATCACCCTCCTCGGTCGTGCCTTTTCTCGTGACCAGCCGCAAAAAATTTACATTCAGGACCGCATGCGGCAGACCCTTACCGACATCCGCTCCGCCTATCTCAAGGAGGAAGGCAGTTTCTACCTCTGCGGTCCCACCTGGCCTGTTCCCGACGTCACGGAAGTCCTTCAGGAGGCGATTGAGACAGAGCATAGAGTCGTCAACGGTGCTGACGCGAAGAAGGTGGATTCGAGAAGGGCCATTGAGACGTTGAAGGATGAGGGACGGTATGTTTTGGAGGTTTACTAGGCAGGCTATTCTTTGCATGATGAGGTAGATAGGTGATATGGTTGGCTTCTTCTCCTCTTTTATCCCAGACTTTATTCCAATCTCTACGGAAATGTAACGTGATGACAAGTCTAAACATAGTCTTCAATCAAGGGAAGGTACAACTAATCATAGGCTCCTGCCGTAGCAGCCAATAGAACACCAGCAACTCATTCTTTACCGAAGTTGTGTCAGTAGGTTTTTGGATCAATGGGCATTGTCGGTCGCTTAAATACTTTATATAATCCAATGCTTGGTTCGCGACACCTCGAAGCTCTATACGCATGCTCAAATAGAGAGTACTCCCGAATGACCGATCATACTCCTGTGTTGTGAGAACCATGATTCGACAGACATACTGAAATGACATTATTCAATGAGGGATCTGGGCTTCCTGGATTCCCCCCAAAAGCGGATTGAGGGTCCATGCACCGAAATGCCCTGTTATATTCCCGGTCATCATACAATTTTCAGTAGTACCATCCAAGAGGTGCTTTAATCATTTTCGATAAGACTACGACTTTGGAAACCGTGTAACAACTACTCTCCACTTTTATACGATCATATTTTATCTCATGTCAATCGGAAACACTTCTTTATGAAATCAAGAACTGCATACAGTGAAAATATGACTTGTCAAAGCAAATCGTATGAGCTTATGCTATAGGGCTTCCACAGAGAAAAGACCTCGAGGTCAAGCAATCTCATATCTACTCTCTCAATCCCCTCTAGTCCAACACTCGTCAGCTTAATACACTTGAGACGACGTGACTACGTCTTCTCATTCACGGACCACTTCCACTAGCACTACCTAACACGTTTGTTTGCTCGGGGGTTTTCTTTTTTGTTTTCCTCTTCCATCACTCCGCTTGCCTCGTGCCCACGGCAGCAACGCACAGCGAGTGTGAGCGCGTCAACAATCCGCACATTCACACAATCAGATTTCATAGCTGCCTCCACGCACAGGCAGAGCTTTCAACTCCCTCATGTGCACTACTGCCACGCGAGTAGCTCAACTAGTGTTTGTATCCAACCCAGTAGGATCTTCAATAACAACATATAGCCATCCAGCCAGCAAGAGGCTGATTTCACTCAGCATCAATACACCGCGTATTGCGAGTGCGGGTGTGTAGGGCAAAGTGATTGAGTCACAAGGTCTCGTTCCCTCGATCTACGCGCCACGCATATTACGACTGGCCAGATACAGATGTGTTCACCAGACCCTGTTCCGCACCCAGGCAAGGCGCTCCGCCACGGCTCAGCATCTCCTCTCATTACACCCTTATCAACTCGCGCCTATGTCGAACCTATACATGAAGATCTGAATTCGGGACCGAAACTCCAGGACGACGAAAATTACAGCTCCAGCGCGATGATGGCTGATGAAGCGACAATCGAGGCTGCATCTACAATGCAGCCTTCATCCCCTACACCTTCTCTATCCCCGCTTACTCGCACCCTCGCTATTACGGAACACAAATCGACACCGGTACTGTGGGATTCGGCATCAGCAATGGTTTCTGATATTCGCTATCCCCATACGGTGCAGACCAAAGGCGAGGACCCAGATGCGGAAAGCGTAGGCGCTGCGTCGTCGTCAGTTACGTCGTCATCGTCATCCCCGGCTCAGCATTTCTCTAAAATGTCTCAGAAAGAAGGACAAGATAAAGAGCCGGTATCCAGGTCATTATTGTCGCCCATTCACCTCAGCGCCACCAAGTCTGTTCAGAAATCTGAAAGGATGGAAGGCTGGCGAGCCGCATCGCCCCGTCGCGCGCCGCATATTTGGAGCGGCAGAAACGACAGCGAAAACGATGTCGAGGAAATTGACGATGCGAAGAATCAGAACGATATGCCTAGGGGGAGGAGGAGAACGCGTTCAGAGGATTGGGCGTTTTATAAGTGCGCTGGAAACCGGTGCTATGAGTCACCGGAACGATATGATTATGACGAATCGAAAGAAAAAGATGACCATGAAGAGGCAACGGAGGAGGAAAAACATGATGAGACTGCTAGTCTGATGATTTTCTCGCTTTATTTGTCCGACGGAGACTATGAAAGTATCGCTGGGTCTGAGGACGATGCGATTGGCGACAGTCATATCGAGGGCCAGGATGAGGACTACCAAAGCCACGATGAGAGCGACAGTGTAAATGAAAGTGAATACGCAGCAAACGACGACGAACACGTGACCGAAGACTACACCAACAAACTAGAGACGAAGGGCGTGAAGAAGGTCAACCGATCTTCTTCAACATTGCCCTCTCCTAGTCATAAACGTGACACGAAATTAAAACACCCCTCCTCGACCTGGCCTTTCTCAACCATTACTTTAACCTCTCCCAGCGGCGAACGTACACGAAGGTCAAATACTCCATCCCCCTCTCCACCGCTATCATCTTCCTCTTTTACGTTACTTCAGACTCAACACCAAATGTCTAAAGCAAGCCGACCCCCCTCTCCCTCATCACAACCCCCCTCAACGACAACACTACCGATCCGCCCCAAACGGCCCGCCAAACACATTTCCTTCGCAGAAGCCCCAAGCCCTTCACAAGCCCTCGCAAATTCGCAATCACACACCCAATTCGACAAAACGATGGCGTATCTACGGCAATATCGACCTGCGGGTTCCAAAGGCGAAGTCGAAGCCGTCGTTAGGCAGTCTACTTTCTTTTCCTGTGCTGACGATCTTCCGACGTTGGTGAACAAAAAAGACGGGGAACAGAGTGAAAGCAATGGGCATTCGGGTAATAGCCGAAGACATAGGAATGCGTTGTTGCCAGAAGAGATCGCAGCACTGGGTGTGAAGGCCGGTATCGCAGAGTTGTCTTTAGGTGATGCCACCAACCTTGATCGAGCTGGAGACTTTGAAATCAACGCCAATGTCGAGAATGGCATAATTAGAGAACATCAACCCACCAACACTGCCGACGGAAACAAAAAGAGGCACGAAGTAGACTTGATGATCTTCTCCCCCTTGCCCAAATCTCATCTCCACACCACCAACATCTCCCCAGATTCTTTACCTCCTCTCATTTTACCAACGTCCTCAACAGGAGCGAATGCGGCTTGTTTTTCTTCTCCAATTTCCTCTTCTTCTTCACAAGAGGGTCTCATACACTTCCCCCCGGAATCCCTCTTCGAACCGCGTAGACCTCGAAAGACATCATCTCCCCGTTCCCCTTCTTTGTTTCCGAAATCCACAACATCTGTACCACCGTGCCCATACTCTATGACGTCTTCGACAGATGGAAGGGCGGGCAGTGCTTCAGAGAATGAAGATGCGGATGTAAATGAGGATCTGATGATCTTCTCGCCCAAGAGTCATCCGAAAAAGGACCCCCATCATGTTTTGGGTGCTGGAGATTCTTCTGTTGATAGAGGAACCCCAGGTGCTCCCCTTTCACCTATTCCTTGCAAGGGATCTTTTGTGCGCTCTGGGTCGGACAAGGAGGCTTTGGAGGCTGAGGCCACTGATGAAGAAGAGGTAGAGGGTGGCTTGGAAGCTCTCTGCCATACGACGAATCGCCCCGTCGAAAACCACGGGAATGGGCAATTATCTGGCCAAAATATCTCATTTGACAGCAACATCGACTGTAGCGAAGAGCGCATCGACGATAAAGAGATCAAATCTGCCGTCGATCTTCTGAACGAGACATTCTTTGATGCCATTGAAAATCATGATACAAATGCCACCGAGGACAACGAACAACGCCCAATTGATCATCAGCAGCTCATTCTCTATAACCCCCAACCTGTTATCATAACCGTGATTGGAATGCTCCCAGCTGCGCTGCTACTAGGCGTTGCAGCGCCGGTTGCGCGGTTGGGAGGTAGGATGTACAGCGAGGCTATTAGGGGTATCAGTGGGGGCTGGGGTCGGGGAGAAGATGAGAGTGATAAGGGGAAGGGCGATGAGTAGGCATCACGAAGATGTGTTCATGCAAGTCAAAAGTAAGATTGATCGTAATCGATCCGATGTGGTATCGTATGATTTTGAGGGAGATGGTGGATGGAATCAGTTTATCATGGTCCTGAGTTTTCTTATGCTTCTTCTTTTCTTTTTCTTTTAACCTTTTTGCTACATGTAATTTAGCAGTAGCAAAATTGGTGCCCCGCCTGTGTCTAAAGCGAGGCGAAAGCTACATCGTGCAGGATAAAGTCCCCATACACATAGAATCGGACATAGTTAGTCGAGAAACATCGTCGTTGATCCAATGTATTTGTACTGTGTCTTATGCTACTGTGATAAACCCCGGTATCGGAGATTCATCATTTTTCTCTCCTTGGTAGCAGAAGAGCTGATGATTTCACACAGTCTGCAAAAAGGACTACATTATACATTCTCCATATCCCCGGGTCTAGTACATGTGTTGTAGCAATCTAGTAGATCTTGCTGATCTATTCGGTACACTCAGAAATAGAACTAATGGCCAAAACATTCCCTTTCTTTCAAGCTTTCAGTGGCCACGCTCGAGTGGTGAGCTCTCGGGACCGGTCCAGCATGAGATAGAGGTCAACGATATCATGCTCGTGTTGATGAGGCAAATAGTTTGAGTTTGAGAGATGTGTACCATAAAAGTACGAGAAGTGCGGCAACGGCCTCAATTGAACTTGGGGAGCAGTGCAACGGGTCTACATACCCAAGAACAGCATTAGGGAGAAAAAGAGGAGACAAGGACACAACCAACAACAGGCGTGCAAGTTGACATTCCAGTTACTAGACCAAGCCTACATGCACGCACGCACGCAATTCTTACGCTCCAAGAGAGAGAGATAGTAGATGAATTGAAATTGTCAAATGCTAACATACTGGTCTTGCGTACTCGCGTACTTTGAAATCCTTAACCCAACCCAAACCCAATACGCCGGCCCTCTTCAGTCAATCATTCATCGTTCAACAAACAGCAGGGGCCTGGATAGAAGAAGATAAAAGGAGAAGAAGAGGGGGTATAGTTTTCCATTGCAACAACGAGAAATTTCCCAAACAAAGACAAAGAGAACCAGTAGAAAAAGAAGAAGTTTGAGTTAGTAGAATAAGGTATCACAAGAGAAAGGGGATTTGGTGGCCGAATATCCCCAGATTCCCCCCAATAATCCATATGTATGTAGTGTGCCCCGCGCTCAGTTCCCAATCAACCAGAAGAACAAGACGAAGAAAAAGCACCCCAGTTCCCCGGTGCCTGGATAATGTTTCTCCAGAACATAGCCTGAAAAGGAAGAATGATGAGAAAGACCATGTGTGTGTATGTGTGCAGTGAAGCACTTTCCTCAATGTTGTTCCCCAGCCCACCGCGCTAAAATGACAAGAATAGTTTCAATTTGGGTCTGTAGGTTGCATGGTTGCGATTGGTGGCGAGGATTTTTTTTTGGTTGGTCGCATGCTGTATGCACGCTGCCGGGGTAGTAGTAGTAGAGGATACAACAGCACAAAGAAGAAGAAGAAGAGTGGCAGGTAGCAACCAGCCAGGAAAGTACTCGCTTTCGTAAACTCGTGAAAAATAAAATAAAAAGTGGTGGCAAGAAAAAGAGGCGAAGGTTGAGGAACACGCAGAGCGACAAGAAAGAGGGGCATCGAGGCGATGAGATGCGGCTTGAGTTTGTATCGGCAACATCATCGTCATCAAGACCATAATCTTGTTGGTCGCAGGGGTGCGCGACCACGACTAGGTATCGTCATCAGCATCATCGTCGTCGTCTTCCTCTTCGCTGGTGCTATGCCGTCCCTTGTTCTTCTTCGTCGAGGCGCCTTTGAGTTGGGTGCTGGATGCTTTCCGCTTGGCGGAGCTGGGCTGGCCACCACCACTCTTGATGGAGGCACTGTCGTTTTCCTTGTTACCGCCATCCATATCGGGAAGCTTTTCACCATTCTCCATGGCAGCCACTTCTTCGGCAGTCAAGAACCTGCCACCAGGACCACGTGGACGTCTCATAGCGTGGTTGTGTCGCGATTCGTGTAGATATGGCTTGCGGCCCTTTGAGGTAAGGCGCAGAGCGTCCTCGAGCTTCTGGCGCGCCAGTCGGCGCTTGAGAATGCGATGAAACTGCTTCGCATTGACATAAAGAGGCGCTTCCTCAGCTGCCGGGCCGGCGACCAGCTCGGGTGACGGTTGATGGTGTTGAGACGGCTGGGGGGCCATCTGCGGCGGAACGGACGGGCGAGGACCTTGGTGATTCATGACGGGCTGAGGTTGCTGCATGTCAGGGTTGGGGATCTGGGTGCTCATCCTCCGCTGCATGCTCGCCTGGGTAGGCGTCATCTGGACTTGGGACGGGAGCCCGCCGGCGGCCATGGGATTTGACACAGCAGTGGGCGAGCGCGGAGTGACGCGATTGTCCTTGAGCTGGCCACCCGACATGCGCGGGGAGGCGCGAGGGTCCTGTGCGAGCTGGCCTTGAGCCATCTGCTGAGGATCGTAGTAGCCGGCGGCGGGGCCTGCGGCGGCGGCGGTGGCCATGGCAGCAGCCTGGGTGGGCGACATGCCGTATTGCATGTTGGGCATGTAGCCCGGCTGCGCGTAGCTCATCTGCTGCTGGTGATGCTGGGCATTGGGCTGTTGCTGGTTGTTGTAGCCTTGCGAGGGGAGGATGGGCGAAGTCTGCTGGTACGAGTGCATCTGCTGCTGCGTGGGCGAGGTGATGGACGTGTTGGCCTGCTGGGGATTTTGCTGGGCGGCATAGTTTTGCATCGAGGTGTGGTGCGGGTGAGGTTGAGCATAGGTTTGCGCGTAGTCGGTCATGGCGGGTGGTGACGGACTGGCTGTGCGCGGGATAGAGGAGGATAGCTAGGTGAGTGGGTAGGTAGGTAAGTAGGTAGGTAGGTTGGTAGGTAGAGGCAGGCAGGCAGGCGGATAGGTTGTAGGTAGACGGGATAGGATAGCCACAGACAAGGCGTGAGCAGCTACCTACCACTCGCTCTACGTTGAGCCTTTGGGTTGGTGTGGACTGGGGTGGTTGGGGGCAGGTCAAGTCAAGGTGAGGTCTCGAAAGTGGATGGATGGGTAGTGGACGAGAAGTGGAAGAGGAGGAAGAAAGCGATTGGGCAGCAGGAAAGAGCGGAGGCTGGCTCTTTCTACTGGCTGGTGGGCCCCAAGCGCTAGTCCGTTTGTGCGGATCGGCCGGGCGCTTGGGCCTCGTGCTGGATGCCTCCGCTCGCCTCCGCTGCTGCTTCACTACTTAACCCACCCGAAGCCGAACAATTACTTATGCTACAGTCCTGGACGGTATACACCACCACCACCACCACCGCTGTCCTGGGCCATGTAACCCCCGGGGCCAGCGCATCGCTTTGCCTGCTGCCCTCATCCTCATCATCATCCTCATCATCGTCACCATCACCATCATCACGGTCGGCGTCGTCGTCGTCATGGCGGGCCAGGAATAAGCAAAAGCCTTTCTTTTCTTTGAAAGCAACGCATGATGGATTGCCGTCCAGGACCCAACAACCCAAGCAGCAGCAAGTCGCAGCCATCAGCAGTTCCCGAGTAGGGGCGTGTTGCTGTCATCAACAGTCTGCCTGCTCCGTCCACCATAGCAGCAATGTAATATGTCTTGTCTCCATGCGGTAGTTGGTCAACTTGCTTGGTTGGGACTGGGCCAGCACTGTGCAGGGTTTCCAGGGACGGCAGGGGCCCAGTCGCAGCGCAGGAAAAAATTCATCTTCGCTTACTCATCGGCCATCCGTCCCCAGCCAGCCAGCCCGGCAGCCGACCAGGTTGCATGCTTCTTCATCATTCTTCTTCTTCTTCTTCTTCTTCTTCTCCTTCTTGTGTGTGACTCTTCTTTGCTTCGGTTCAACTAACATCTCCTCTCTGCTCTGGTTCCCGTCATTCCTGTCGTCACCATGGCACCAGCTATTGATGAATGTGCTACGCTCTTGTTTACCCAAGTCTCGTAAGCGCTGCTGTCAGTCGGCTGGTGGTGCGCCGTCAGTCCTTCCATGACGTTGCACTCGGGCGGTGTGCTGGGCCGCCTGTTGACGTGTACGCTGTTCGCTCGCTTGCCATCCCGTGTGCGCCCACCCTGGCACCTTGGTTGATTCATTCATTCACTCTCACTCGTTGATTTCTCTGAACACACTCTTCACTTCACCTTGGTCTACAATTCGTACCGTGTGTGTGTGCTGTGTAGCTGCCCATCATCATTGCCTTGCCTTGTTAATCCAGCCGAACTGCCCGCTGGATCAACAAGGCCAGCACAGACAATCTCCGCGCAATTGAACAAACCCTCAAAGTCGTCGGCGTCGGCGTCGGCGACACGACGCGACACGACACGGGCCAAGGCCAAGGCCAGCAGGCAGGCAGACAGCCAAAACAAAAAATAAAGAAAAGGAACGAAGAAGGAAAGAAAAAGGAGGATAAATCCCAGGGCTGCAGGCGAATCACGGCAGCACAATTATCTGCTGCGGCTAACCACAAGGTGACGGGTTGTGCATTTTCGTCTCATGCCCTTCCCGCTGCCGCCCCTGGTCTCGTTCGGCTGACTGGCACTTGATGCCCGCACGCACACTCCACTCCCCCCCTCACTCTGCCTTCGCTCCGTCTTCTTCCCACCCAGTCCAACTAACCAAGTGACGGGTTACCCGATCCTCGTCGTCGCATCATTATCCCACACTACACTGACAAGCACTTTAGCAGCCCTTTAGCTCACCCGCACCTCATCATCCCTCGTCGTCATGGCCCCCGAGAGTGAAACCTTGCTTGCCGCATCAAGGCGAACGCGACAAGTTTCTCATGTTATTGAATCTCATTACCCAACGCGCACACCACTCGCTGAGATAGTGCATACCACCTCAATTTAAGCTCCCCCTCCCACCCCCGCCCGGCGTGGCATGGCACTGCACTGCACTGCGGCTGCGCTGCCACTTTGGAACTGGGTGGCCACCCTTCATCACCCTTGATGCAAGTCTGCCTGCCTGCCTGCCTGCTTGCTTGTGCCGTGGTGGATGCGCGTGCATGCATGCTTCGAATGTGTCCCTCTTCTCACATCGGTCTGCTGTTGTTTCGGCTTAGCGCGTGTTGCATGCCCATCTGTCTGCCTGTCTGCCTGTCTGGCATGCGCCTGTCCAACAGCTTGTCCTACGTTCCCTACGTGTCTTGTCCCAAGCTCGGAGAAAGAAGATAATGCCGCAATCCATCACACACTTGCCCGCCCTCGCCGCTTTCTGTAGATAGCCGCCCAGCTGTGTGCTGGGGTACGGGGCCGGAGGAGATCCGCTCGCAAATCATAGACGTTGTCGTTGGCAACGCGTCAGTAACGCGTCGCTGTCGCAGGCGCCAGGCGCCACTGCCAGAGCACTGACTGACTGGCTCGGCCTTGGCGTCTTGTGCGCCCTTCTTTGCTGATCCCCCATGATTTACATGGCAATCATGCATCATGCATGCTATAGGTCAGCTTGAGCTTTGAGCTTCCCCAGCTGTGCCATTCAGCTCGTGCTCGCTCGTGTTTGCTCGCCTTCACTCTGCTGTTTGAAACCCGACCATGCCAGTCGCAAAGTCATCTTCGAGGGAAGACGTTTTGCTCCTGCGAGTTGGTAGATGCGAGAAAGCACCGTTTAGAGTATGCAACATCTTAATTTTTTTTGGTGGTCTGGGAGTCAAAACGTCCCGCATAACATATACAGTACCTACACGCATGAAACTGTCTCCCCCACCGACTCCAAGCCAGCAGACGAAAAGAAAACAAGTGCACACGTACACACGCACCTTCTTTCCCCATTCCAAGAACAACATTTGAACGTTTGAAAGCCACAAGGACCAACCACCCTACTTCTTCCCATCCTTATTCTTCCACGCTTTACTTCTGTCCTTGCGACCGTTCGGTCCCTTCTTCTTCCCAGCCCCGCCCTTCCCACCCAATTTTAACCCGCTGTTGCCCTGTCGACTGCTCGCGCGATGTCCCTCGAACACAAATGCCTCCGCAGACTTGTACGCCGCCGCTTTACCCAGGACCGCTCTCGCACGTCCTTGTTGAGACTTTTGTTCAGCGGGGATTTTGGCGTTGTACGCACCACTTGCTGGCTTTTTCGATGACGAGCTGGGGGGAGGGCCCCGTCGAACATTGGGGTTGGACTTTGGCTTCTTGTTCTGCGCTCGAGCACGCGTGACGCGGAGTTTGCGAGGCAGCAAAGGCGGGTACTTTTGTTCGTTGAAGAGCAGAGCAGCTTCAACCGACGTCTCGTCGACAAACTGCACATACGCGAAACCCTTTCCGACACGTGTCTGCGCGTCACGGGGGACGCGGACGCTTTCCACTTTGCCTGCTTTGCCGAACTGCAGCCAAAGGCCTTCTTCGACGTCGCTGGGGGGTTTGGTTTTCTTCTTGGCAGGATCCTCGGGGTCAACAGATGCGGATTCGTCGTCGACGAACCCCAAGTTGCCAACGAAGACGCAGCGGCGATGGTCTACTTTGGCGGGGTGCGCAACTGAGTCGACGCGTAGATGGCGGTTCAGGACTATGGAGCCGTTGAGGCGTTTGACAGCCTCGCGGGCAGCAGTAGTGGTGGAGTAAACGGCGTAGGCGTTTGTGGATTTAGTAGTGGTGTCTTTGATTTCCTTTTTGGCAAAGGCGGCGCGTTTGGGAAGGGCGCTGCCAAAAGCCGTGGAGCGGAAACGGATAGATTCGACCTTGTGTGGTGGGTTGTTGTCGGCTAGATCGGCGATGAAGGACGAGAGGTGCTGCTTGAGCTGCTTTTGGGCCGATTTGGATGTTATAGTTTCACTCGAGACATTGCCGAGGAAAACGGTGCGGGATGCCTTTTCGAGTTCTTCGGCTCCAACGTCGCCCGATTCAAGTTGGGTCTCGTGTTTGGGTATGGTAAAGGCTTCATCATCGTCGTCTGACTCCGAGGCGACATCTCTGTGAGCAGCGTCTTCTGCAGGAGCACCAGTTGTGGTCTCATCCGTCTTAGCCTTCTTGCGCTTCTCCTCGTCTCTGGCCTCCTCGCGGGCCAGCTTCTGCAAATACGTGTCTTCTAGATCTTCGTCTTTTTCGCCTCGCTTTCGCTTCTTGGACGGCTTCTCCGGGAATGTAGTAGGAGAAGCCTCGCTTTCTGACTTGGTGACGTCGTCGTCGTCGTCGGATGAGGAACCAGAACCCGAGCGGCTGGCCATTTCCTCGTCTTCCACACCGTTGGAAGCGCCGTCCAATGGTTTATCGCCGTCCTCGAGATGGTCCTCCGCCTCTACTGCGTGTTTGTTGAGGGCATCCTGGTATCGTGACTTTGGAGGGGCTGTAACAGGCCCGGCCTATACATGTCGTTAGAAATTTATGATGCTACCTGGGTACTGTTTTGGCTAAGGGCACGCACACTGCTGGCGAAAAGCGAGGAGAGACTGGGGTCTAAAGCTTTTTTGTCGACATTCAACAGAGCGCTGCTCCTCTTCTTCGTCTGGCCGCTGTCACCGACCGCAACAGATTCGCTTTTGTGGTGCGCTGATTTGGCCATTGCGAAGAATAGTGACTGCAGATTCAAGGTGCTGTGAAATTGCGACCTTCTGAGCCCGAGATTGCACACTGTCCCGATATCCCTTTGTTCGCGTTTGAAGAAAAGTTATTTTGGCTGCTCAGTCCGTCGGTCGCGATGGGAAGTGGATAAAAGTTTCTGGCGGTTCCGAAGGCGCTAAGCCGCTTGGGGGCTGGTGGTGCGGGCCAACGTCGGCAGTCCGGCCGGGCTGCTGCTCTGCTGCTTGTCTTGTCTTGTGGCCCTCCGCCTATCGCTTTGGCTCATTTGGTCGGTTCCTGTCTGTCTTTCCTCCGTTCGCCTGGTGTTCATTGCTTCATTGCTTCCACATGACTGCTGCTGCGACTCTACTGCAACACTGACCTTGCCCGCCGCACCACTTCGTCCTCCCTCTTCTTCCTGATCCACATCTCGCCGCAACCTGCGCGCAGCTTCACCTACGCAGACGAGAAGAAACCCTTCCCCACCAGCGTCTTGTGCCATCATCCGCGTTGCTCCCGCCTGCAGAAATCTCCTCGCCTCCTCTACCACTTCTCCGTCAGTCTCCACCATACCACGGCTGGTTTCCACGCCTACTTCGTGCCTCACTGTACCGCGCAAAAGTTGACGCACATTGCGTGCTGGGCGCACCATGAGCGCGCACCAGCGAGCGAGGCCGACGAGCTCCTCCAAGACTTCAACCACCGCCGGTGACGTCGCCGATCCCGTCGGTAGGCCATCTCCACTCCCACGACTCGTTCATGAGAATATGATGGCTGGCAATGATTTGGGCCCTGCAGACTCCATCTCACCCGCTGACACTGACCTGCCAGACCCCTCTTCTCCAAAGTCCCCCTCACACGCAACTGCACAACCTTCGGCGAGCTTGCCCACCTCCAACACTATTTCGCCCACAATAGAAGAAGCTGAAATGCTCACAACCCTAGCGGTCCCAGCCTCTATGGTCGTTTCGGACTCTCAAGAACTCGGGATAACCAAGGATGGCTTCGATGGTCCAGCCGACGACCGGTCCAGCAGCTTGAGCGAGCTAGGAGATGCCTCTGACGTGCAGTCTGTAGCCACTCCCAGGCCAACAACTGCCGTCGATGCCAACGAGGACGAGTCAGAAGCAGAAACCGAGCGCCTAGAGATCACGCCGCGCAAGTTGACCCGCACCGCTACAGAAACGTCGCTCGCCTCCGAACAAGTCTATCAGAGAACGCCAAGTAAACTGGTTCATTCAAAAGCGGTAGACGATGACAGCTCTGTACCTCCCACCCCCTCACTCGTCCCCCCCGAAAGCGCGCCCACACAGGGAGATGGTGAGAATTCGGCCCTACACGCTCTATCGGTTGCCTCTGAGGCGGCGAGTCTGGCCGAGCTGGCTGGGAAGAAGCGAAAGAGACCCAGCCCCGAAAATAGTAGCCTTGAGGAAGACGCCGGCGAGCCCGCGCGGAAGCGTAGCGCCGGACTCAATGGCACCCGTGAAGCTGAGGTCAACAGTTTGGCGCCAATGGACGCGGAAGAAGAGCTTGAAAATGCCGAAGAGCGGATATCACAGCTTGCGCAAGAGGAAGCTGACCTGGAAGAGCGCCAGGCAAACATTGCAGTTGAAACAGTTAACGAACTGGCGACAGTCGCCAAGCACACAAAACCGCGCAAGGGCGGTCGGAGGGGCAAGCGAAAAGTATTGGAAGAATCGCTGGAGGCTATTGCAAGCATAGAGGCTGAAGGAGAAGGCGATGGCGATGAGGAGGATAGCGGGATCATGGATGAGGAAGGTGAGCTTCCCCATTCTGGCGCTGTCGCCCTGGATGCACAATTGCTCACAACAAAGCAGTGGTCAAAAAGAAGCTTGCGATAACCGAACTTGCGAAGATTGAGAAAAAGTTCAAACTGTTCCGAGAGAAGTAAGTAGCAACCTACTTCAACATGGTCGTCTAGCTAACGTGTCTAGGCTATGTGACGAAGAAATAGCGCGTCATGAAGCGGACCTTGAGATGCTTCGTCAGCCCCACTGCACCCATCCCGAATACCTTGCTATGATCAAATGCATAGACGACCGCCGCGCGGAGAAGGTTGCCTACGAAAGAAAACTCCTACTTTTCAAACAGCGGAACCTTGAAATAATCACAGAAGCCGAACGACATCAGCAACACAGCCAATTCCTCCAAACGGTGCGCGATGTGCGAGAGCGTGTGCTCTCTGACTGCAATCAACGAATATTCGAGCTTCAACGCGGTCGTAGGCAGCTGGGTGTGGAAGAGGTAGAATACACGGTGAAGTTGCCCGAGAAGAGATCAGATCAGATCCGGCAGCAAGCGGCGTACAATCTCGAGGTTTCTATTTTGTCTGGAATAGCCAAGTACGTCGGGTTTCCTGCTGCGCCCGAGATACGGGCAGCGCGGCCAGCCGAAGTCGATGACGATCTCCGAGCGATGAAGGTGAGTTGCAAATTGTTGTAAGTCGTTATAAAGTTGGGGGCTAATTTGTTCAAGATTGTCACTCGTCCTACGGTACCACCCCCGCCTGTTTCCTATGTTCGACCTGCAGCATACGGCCGCACATCGACGGCCGACGAAGCCGCTGCAGAAGAGCAGTTCCTCGAGAGAACGCCGTGGGCTAATCCTCAACATCCCGCGCACCAGCAGTCGCATTATGGGGCCGCGCAAAACTACCAAACCCCCATCGGCCAGCGCCGCTTCGATCCACCCAACGGCTCCGCATCGACCATCGAAGCACACTCGAATCCACCATCTTCGGGCATGCAAGCGACCAACGGGAACCACCTCAACGGTGGTCGCATTGCCGAGTCGGAATCTCCTGTACTGCAAATGAAGCGCCATCCTTTGATGGACCAGCACCACCAGCACCATCAACATCTTCAACAACAACATCCACATCAACAATTTTATGCTGAATCCCCTAGTTCCCTCTCCCGTCACCACGTTTCTAGAGAAGCGGCGCCCCCACAACCCCTACCGCTGCAACATCCACATCCGCATCATCAACACCACGTTTTATCGAGCCCAGCCACTGGCGCATACAATTATAATCAAAACAACACTGTAAACCACCATGAAGCAGACGATCAGGCAGCGCGGTGGGGTAGTGGAGTAGGCATGAGGCCCGGTATAGGTGTGTCGTCAATACCACCGCCACCGCCGTCGGCCTCTGGACGTCCGGACGCTGCAACAGCGCCCGCAGCCAGGATGCCCATGGTGCAGAGGGTCGGGGGCAATGGAATGTTCGGACGATGATGTTTCTTCTTCCTTTCGCCATTCGTCTCTGGTTAAACGATATCATATGTTCACTCCCCTTTCCTTTCCTTTCCGTCCTGTCATACACCTTTTTTTTTTCTCTCATATTTCTATTTTGATTGGGAATTGATCCAGAAGTCACCCTGCTCTACTTTTGGTTTTTGGAATATGGGCGGGTAACGCATTTGTGAATGCGTAGCATGGTAGTGTGAGGGTGGTGTAGAGGTCTTCACAGAAGGCTTAAACTTGGACGTGAGCGCAGGGCAAGCAAACGGGGCAGTAAAGTCCAGTCACATTCGATACCGATACCTGTGTAATAAATCCAAAGACGGCTCCCTCTCAGCGCCGAGCACGAGGAATCTTGATTGAACATGGCGGATGCGTGAGTTTAGCTGTCTACAGGCACTCACAGCATGTGGCGGATGCACATGTGCATGCATGCATAGATTGATGCATTTGTTTGTGAACAAAGCGGCAGACAACTGACGGATAGGCAGACGTATCGACAGGCATTGATGCAGTCGCCGTATCCGCGTCAATGCCGGCTGGGATGGTCCTGAGTACTCGAGTGATTACGTCTGGGGTTGAAATCGTGGGGGCCGGGGTCGTGTGAGGAGAAAACCAGGAACAAGGCACAAGTGCATCGACGAATGGAGAGGTTCCTCGGGCCCGATATCTAGACTTCCTTTGATGTTGCCAAGGTCAATTGAATCCCGTCATTTGAGCAACTTGATGCCGACAGAGGGAGCAGAGAAAACGAGAGAACAAGACGGTGATGGGTTGCGTATGCATGCGCGTGGCTTGGACCCCCAGATGAAGACATCAGGTAGCAACCAGTGGCCGACTAGAAGACCCGAAACGAAGCGTTTGAACCGTTCAAGTGACCAGAGTGGGCAGTGTTCAGATGGCAATTCCCGGGCTCCTCATGCGATATGCGTCCAGTTTTCACCGAGTGTGCAGGGCGGCGAATTGATCATTTGCTGTTGCACGCGAGGCTACATAGCCTTCTTGTCTCTGTTGAGTCGGAGCACAGGAGGCTGTACACACATGACAGGATACTATCAGTTCATTCGACTCCAAATCCAAAAAGGGAGCCGGCTGGCCAGGGTCAGAACAACGTAAGAGGCCCTGTTTGGTCTTTGGCTTCTGAATCACCGGAAGTGGGGGTCGGCCAAGGAGTTTCGGTAGTCGAATACCTTCTCCTCGCCCCCACACCTCCACCACTTCCAGCTTCATCTGGGTTGCTGAAACCCACCTCGTCAATCGGGAAGTGCTCTCCCCTCCATGTACTCATTGGTATTCCTTTCTTACGCTTTTCCGTTTCTTGGGATCCAACAGTGGACCGCGAGTAGTGGGGAACATGGACACAAATCATACGGTTCCAAGTGTTGTAAATTTGTCCCCTATGAAGCTTGATTGAAGAACCACCAAGGCATCTGCCCGCACCAGGGGGCCCGGCAGAATCAAGACCCCAGATATCTGCTTGTTGCTTGTCACGAGGGACAAACGTTTCCAATGCCTCACTAATTGACTGACCCTTGACATGTTCTTTCCCTTCGAGTTATCCGGCGAAACTAGGGCGGTGTGCGCATTATCTAGACTGTCCGCCGACGACGACGAAGCATTCCCCGTGAGGTCTCGGCCAACGACGTCTAATACTAACCTGCTGGCCAGTGGGGGGGCCTGCAAGAAGCAAATCGCCGCCGATAGCTGACACACAAGATACCACCTGATCCGTAGTTGCTCTCTTCAACCGGTGTTCGGATATGGTGAGAACTACGGAATTGTTTCTGGTGCCTGAACGAAGTTGCTGGTGCTAACCCGCTGAGACGATCAGGTCGCCCTATACTGACACACAAGGTATGCAATTCCCAACTGCTCCCCCATCCCAATCTTCATGTGTTTTGGTGCCCGGGCCGAGGTGCTGGATCGAGAGAACGACAAAGCATTGCGGTCTGAAGAGACAGCGCCTTAGATATCTGCCTCCCACACGCGCTCCATACAATTCAGCGCCACCCCCTAATGCTTTCTCCAAGAAATTAGTCTTATGTCTCACCACCCAGATCATTCACCGTTTGGTGCAATGTCATCGGAACTTACGCATGTAGGGAACGGTCTATGTTCAAAGCCACAACCGGCTTTTCCCCCGACGTACTCAGTCCTCATCAAGCCGATCTCACTGTCATCATGGGGAGCCTACGAGTAACTAGAATAAGACTGGTGGGAAGTGCCATACCAGAAAAAAGTTGCCTAGCGCATATGAGTGATGCAGAGTCAGCACAAATTCAATGCTAGGAGAAGAACCTCAGAGGGTGTCTTGGTTTGTCAGTGCTCTTTCTCCTTGGTTTGTCGGGATTGACAGCTTATGGATCGGGTTCTTATCATTGCGAACGAAGTTTCGGGATATGTTCATAGCGCATGACTATTGTACCGTATAGAAGCTGCGAAGGCGCTCGTGAGTTTGCCGTGGAAGGTGTTCTTTTAACACAAAGTGTCCGACCGCGGTGACTTTCCAATTTGTCACATATCCCAGACCTTGTCTTGGAGGGTGTTTTCAGTGACACGGTGGAACCAAATCTCTCTTATTGACTGTAGGTAGCATCAGACGATAAGGATGGGAACGGATAAATGCGGATACGTCGTCCACCCTCTCAAGTATTGTGATGCGCATTTCACCGACATTCCATTTTCTGCGGTGAAGTGATATTTTGATTCGAGAACTGTTGGTTCTCATAATATTCGTCTGCGCGTGAAAGAAACAGGCAGTCCAATAAGCTGGTATCAGGTTGCTTATCGTAAACGGTGATGCGGCCGAGCTGAACCATGGGCGTTCGAAGGGAAGGGAATCGCGTAATCTGACATATGAAGCATCCGAGTATCGATTCAGTCGTATCCTTCTCTAGACCCAATAGAAGATCATAACGAGTAGAAACCGAAGAAGTCTCAGCTGCTCGCTGTCATCAGGCATTTGCCTGATGCAAACTATTGTCAGCCTGAGTATAGAGCGATTGAGACAACCTGGTAAATAGCCGATAGTTGATCACCTACGTACCGCCCATCCATACTCTGAACAGAGGAGCCGACGAATTGAATTGGGAGCATGATGTATCCGACTTCTGATCGACCCCCCATGGAAATCTATCGCATTCTTTTGGGCCTGTTGACCAATCTTCTGGAAAAGCGCGTAACCGGATAGATTACTCCGCTGTACATTTGCCTGCAGACACCTTGCATCTAAATCTGATCAACTGATGATACGAAGCTTATTGTGAAGAACAGGTGCCTGGCATGTAGGCATCTGAACAAGTCAAACTAGGGAAACTGGCGTATGACCCGCAGTGTATTCTTGCCGACTGTGCGGTGCCTGTTCCCAACCCCCACATAGTCCCCTACCCGATTAATTTAATGCAGGCTCAGGCCCTTGTAGATTCATCTGCAGGCAGTTTGAGGCAGACAACCACATCTGTGCCGATCAGTTGGTAACAGGGTGACGGTCCTCGAACTTTGAAAACGACAATCCCCTAAACAGCAAAGGGATGCCGTCGACGCCTCGCATCAGCTTGCTCGATCGCCTGCCAACCTGAACCTCAGATCCAATTCCTGGTCATGCCATTTACCCGATCCGAGGGTTGGTAAAGTTTCGAAAACGGATGTACATATGTGCCTCGTCTTGTCTCGCCTTCCCTCGCCTCCCTACTGGTGCGCCTACCAGCCATTGAAAGAATCGAATCACAGAGACAATATACGGAACACCTTTCAACCTAATGGATCGTTCAGCTTCAAAGAGCCATCAGCCAGCTGAAGGCTCTGCACATATCTTCACCTGCACGCCCTACTCTGCACCAAAAAACCCCGACGAAACCGTTGGTGAGGATATACGCTGCCAAGTGCAGGGGGCTTTTGGCCACTTGCCTCTTCGGTTCAGGATCACCCTTGCCACAGGCAATCAGCCACTGATGGTATGCCTTCCCCGAGGCTTCTCGATGGGAGCACCCTAGCAGGTACAGGGAGTAGTTGTGGGATATGTAGGCGCTTTTGACGCTCCATCTGCTCTTGAGACTCAGCACCAAGCCCAAGGTGAACACAAGCCTAGACCAGAACATTTGACGACGGGTAGCGCACATCCGTCTCAAGAGCCGCAGTCATCATTCCATTTAGATGGTTGATCAAGTCGCATTCGCAGGGAACGGGCAGGAGGTTAACCTGGTGGTTGTAGCTATTTCCGGACGGTTATTGGGCCCTGGACTTGAATTGACTTGGGTTGTCTTGGAATCCATCCTGCGACTGCACTCCCGAAGACGCTTTCGGGACTGACTATTGTAGTGTTGAGGACATGTATTGCCTTCTTGGTACATAGTAGCTAGGGTTACACGTGAACTTGGCCATAATCGCATCCGCTTACGCTATTCGGCACTCTAGGACGGTGGTAGTGTTCCTCTGATATCCGTGTTGTTGTTGGCTGAACGCGAATCATCAACGGGACCCGGCCCCCAAGCGCTTGGTCCGGACCTCAGGTGCTAAAAACGGACCATTAGAGTAGAGCTCAAAGAACATCCTTCTAAGGCTGTGACACCGAGATCAGATGTAAGACAGATATGAGCCCTTCTGGAGTTGAATGGGCAAATGAAACGTCAAGAAGGGCTAATATCTTGAACGTATACGCCTGCGATCCTGGTAGCCGACAACCCTCACTGAGGCCACATTCCGGGAGTGCGCCTCAGCCCCATAACGGAGAGACATTCTATACTGTCTAATCAAACGATGGCAGCTACTGTACTGTGACTAGAAGCTCCCGGCTGCGACATATTCCGGACGTACCCAGGAAAAGCTGGCTGGCCAAAGTAGGAACAGGGCGTCTGATTGTTGAAAGTGAACATGGGCCTTCTTCAGTCGTAATTTGGAATGCATGGTGATAGTGATAACCAAATCGGATAGGCAGGCGGGAAATCGTGCCTGCAGTCATGCAGAAACCGGGGTTGCCTTGCTCTCCGAGACAGATAGTGAGGTTTACACGTCTACCTCATCGCTGTGAGCGAAGTGCGACCACCAACAATGGCATAAATACAGTTCGAAGGATTCCAAACAATGTGTTTTCATTCCATCAACCAAAGCAGTACCAGCCCAGTTTTTACTTTACCAAGCTACAATAACCCGTCTCTTACGATACGCTATGCCTCATTCCGAACAGCCTGGTAGCACTGGTGATACGGTAGGGCGTCACTGAACCTCTTGCAACCTCTCCAGCTAAACATAGCATTTATTAAGGGAAACACCAGTAGCAGCAGTCAAGCTCAACCCGCTGCCATTGCTCGTTGGTTAGGAGAACGACCTCGAGACGAATATTATCATGGGCAGCAGTCCGCACAGTCCCCGCCGACGACACAAACTTCTAAGGCTCCTTAAAATGTGGCGTTCCACCCACAGAGTCCACGACCATGTTGGTCTCGAGGAGGCACATATTCACGGGAGATCCAAGATGTTCGCTCCGAAACCGTGAAGTATGAATGCAGCAGTGCGACCGGTTGAAGGGTGACGGCTTAACAACAGAGGTTTTTCTTTTTCTTTTTTGTTTTCCTTGGTGCCATGATCTGGCTTGATTCTTTCTGCCTGTTACGAGATTGCTGTATGGTCGGGTGTATAACGCTTTGAGTCGTACGATGACACGATGTGGACGCAGATATGGTGTTTTTTCTTTCTTCCTGTCGTTATCGCCCATTCTTCTTACATTCTGAGAGTTACGCCGGGTAACCAAGTGTAGACAGCAATTTCCTTTCCCTCAGTCTTTATCGTTTTTCTTTGTGTGATTCGAACCGTATGAGTTGTACACTATGTCTTGAATAAACGGGAAAAGAACAGATGCGGCGCGAAGACAACGCTCCTTCTACGCCTCCCATGGCGATATAAACACTTATCATACAGCAAATTCGAGGTACCTGTGGTTGAGGATGATTTTCCAGTCTCGTGATAAGCGGGTATGTTTGCGGTAAGCTGAGATGTCATAGGTGGTGATGATTGCGATGATTGTGATGGACCGCCACGTGTAGGAGAATTGTCTGCTGATTCCTTGGAAAGATCATATGTTTTTAGTAGGAGACAGTTCAGATAATTGGGATGCCACATGTACTAGATGGCGTGGTGATGAGTGATGCGGATGCCCATCGAGTACACACATATAATGTTGATATGCAGTGTCTGCTTACATAATCAGTTTTCGGGTGACTCGAAGATGCATTCAATGTGCCATCGAAATCTATCTGGGTCCTTACAAGGCATGTACATAGCTTTGGTCAAAGTCTTATATGTGAGCATCATAGTGTACCCAGATTCACCAACTAGTTCATGCATACCTACATACATATGTAGGTACAACAGATAGTATATATCTGCAAATCAACATTTAAGATGTTGGAGTCTAAGCACCTAGTTTTATGCGATTTACGATATCTGTAGTATCTGCAGTCAGCGCTCTATGTGATTTGTACTGTAACAGTTGTGAACCGGAAAACAAGTAATGTGTGATCGGGTCAAAGAACCGCGGGCAGACGGAGGCTAAAGTGAAACCATGCCAGAGTCAAGCCATAGCTGGGCAATGCTCCCTGCGTAGCTCCGTCCCCGGTAACCGTCGATATCATTTGATGCTGCGATATCTTCTTCGCGACGGAGATCAGTATAGGAGGTGCGACGCCTTCCATGGCCTCGTGTACTCGGGTTTACAACGGGGGGCGCATGTTTTCGGAGAACGCCGCCGTGCGGGGTCACATGGGCGGGCGGTGGCCGTGACAGCGGCCTATCTACCTAACAGGTAGCTCGACGGGGGGGAAAAAAATAGAGCTGTACCAACGACAATCATTCCTACCTCCGCTCCATTGCAAGATAGGCGCCATGATCAAAGGTAAACCACCAAGAGCTACTGGCATGCCCCCATCACCTCACGCAACTGAGGCTAACGACGCACCCACAGGTTCCTATTCCACCGCCCCCGATGCATCGCCGGATTTCGGAGCTACCGTAGTCGACGACCAGATTCCCTCTTCCGAAGAAGACGACGACGAGGAATTGAGCCCCGGTATCGAGGACCCCGAACTCGTCGACAATGTGGACGATGGCATCTCCGCCACGGACAAGACCGGTGCCACTAAGTCGCAAACGAGTGCTGCAGCAGCTGCAGCAGCAGAGACCGATCACAGTGCGGGTGACGATGCACAAGCTGCGGGCTTGTTGCTACCCAGGGACAAGCAGCGTCGCACTGCCTTCTACGACTATGCTTCCGAGAAGCAGATGAGTCACTCCGAGGCCAAGCAGTTCTATCAGCGACACCAGCTAGAAAGTCAGTACGGCGGATCCCAGGCCGGTGACCCATACAGTCCTGTCATCCGCGCAAAGACTTTTCCCGCAAACTTTGCTTCCGGCGCCGCTGACACAGCCGACGTTGAGAGTGTGCGATCCCGGAAAAGCAACATTGGTGGGGGGCCATCGCAGGGCCAAAAACCTACTCTTCCCATCGGCTTGTCGCAAGCAGACCACCCACATTCACGCCAAGCATCGTCTTCGCAGCCCTATGCTACAGCCAGCCACTCCAATGCTGCCCCTGATCCTTTTATCCACGCAGACCGCCACGCGCGAGATCACCACCACCACCCTGATCTTCCCCACGAGCACAAACCACTGCTCGCAGAAGAGGGCATCCACGGTGCGGGAGCAGGTGTTGGCATTGGGGGCGGCGCCGGAGGCTTCGCCATGTCAGATGCTAGCATAACGGCCGAGTTGAGTGCCATTTATACAAACATACAGAAAGTACTCGACCTCCGCCACAAGTACATACGTCTGTCACTCCAAGGCAGCTTTGACAACCCCAAAGATGATCCATCTTGGCGCATCTATCCCCCTCATCCGGTGCCTGTATGGGACGACTCGTCAAAAAGCCGCCAGAATCCATCCAGCAGCATGCAGAATAGTGGCATCATTGAGCCCGAGACACCCGTCAAACCCCCCAGAAAAATGGGCAAGGATATCGGAGAGGATTTTGATATGGGTGATCTTTTGCCCCTACCTGGCTCTTCTGAGATGTCTTTCCGCCTCGACAAAAGCGGTGTTTTCCAGGTGTACGAGACAACCAAGTCCGCCGAGCTCGATATGCCTATCGTAGCGATCCCTACTCTGCGAGATTTTTACATGGACCTGGATGCTATTCTAGAGATATCTTCCGATGGCCCTAGCAAGAGCTTCGCATTTCGACGCCTGCAATATCTCGAGGGCAAGTTCAATCTTTTCCATCTGCTTAATGAGTATCAAGAGACGGCAGATAGCAAAAAGGTGCCCCATCGTGATTTCTACAATGTCCGGAAAGTGGACACCCACGTCCATCATTCGGCTTGCATGAATCAAAAGCATTTGCTACGCTTTATCAAGTCCAAGATGAAGAGAACCCCAAACGAGGTTGTGCTCTTCCGTGATGGCAAAGAACTCACACTCGAAGAGGTGTTTGAGTCTATCAACCTTACGGCGTATGATCTTAGTATTGATACCCTCGATATGCATGTAAGCCTATCTCGCCGTCCGGCATCTATAATATATCACATTGCTAACGCTTGCAGGCTCACACGGATTCATTCCATCGCTTTGACAAGTTTAACTTGAAGTACAACCCAGTTGGCGAGTCTCGCCTTAGGACCATTTTTCTGAAAACAGACAATTTCATCAAAGGCCGTTATCTGGCTGAGATTACAAAGGAGGTCATATCTGATCTCGAGTCGTCCAAGTACCAGTTTGTGGAATGGCGCATCTCCATCTATGGCCGCGATATCGACGAATGGGATAAGCTTGCTGCATGGGTCATTGACAACAAGCTCTTTTCACCCAACGTGCGCTGGCTCATTCAAGTGCCTCGTCTGTATGATGTCTACAAAGCTACTGGATTGATGGAAAATTTCCAGCAAGTCATTGTCAACCTGTTCCAGCCACTCTTCGAAGTTACCAAGGATCCCAATAGCCATCCGAAATTGCACGTTTTCTTGCAGCGAGTCATTGGGTTTGACAGCGTAGACGATGAGAGCAAAGTGGAACGTCGAATGTTCAAAAAGTTCCCTTTTCCCCACGAATGGTCTACAAAGCAAAATCCGCCATACAGTTATTGGATGTATTATCTCTTCTCCAACATTTCGTCCTTGAACGTCTGGCGTAAACAACGTGGCTTCAACACGTTCTTGCTCCGACCTCATTGCGGTGAGGCTGGTGACACGGATCATCTTGCCGCAGCTGTGCTCTGCAGTCACAGCATAAGCCACGGACTTCTCCTGCGCAAAGTCCCGTTGCTGCAATACATCTTCTATCTCGAGCAGATTGGTGTCGCTATGTCTCCGCTCAGCAATAATGCACTCTTTTTAGCTTACGAGCGCAATCCGTTTATGAGTTACTTCCGACGTGGTTTGAATGTCTCACTTTCCACGGACGATCCGTTGCAATTCGCATTTACGAAGGAGCCATTGATTGAAGAGTACTCAGTTGCAGCACAAATCTACAAGCTCAGTGCAGTCGACATGTGCGAGTTGGCCAAGCATTCAGTCGAGCAGAGCGGCTTTGAGCACACCATCAAGCAACGCTGGATAGGCGCCAACTATCACCTCCCGGGGGTAGCCGGCAACGACGTAGCCAAAACCAATGTACCTAGCATTCGCGAAGCGTTCCGACACGAAACCCTTATGCAGGAGCTTGGCATGATTGAGCGATACACGCGTGCATCTGAAGACAGCAGAAACGCGCTGACAGCGTCAAACCTCGAGCCAACTGCAGCACCGGCTCCTATAAAATCATCAGCATCTAACCACGCTACCCACCCAGGTTCCCCAGTTGCATCTCAGCAACAACATCCGCCCAGCTCAGGTCAAAACCAATTCTCCACCCTCCCACCAGGCGTCATGCCACACAATGCCCAGTCTCCCCTCTTCTCTACGCAACAAGCTCGCATCCCCACTAGCTCTATCTTAGATCTGTCAAGCCAGGCCTCCCAAACGCAGCCTACATCACCCACGCACGCAAAAGCTGCATCAGACTTTGAACGTTCGCGTCGTGTTTCTACTATAACGATGGGCCTTGGAAGCACTATACCGCCTCAACCTGTAGAGGCCTCTACAGCAGTTGCTAGTATGTCGCAATGGTCTCTACAAGACGAGTCACTTAATCTTGCCCGTACTGCAAGCACAGTTACTCTTGAAGGCACAGAGCCTAGAATGTTTCCTGGTGTTGTTAGTAGGCGGCGCCGGAGCAGCATTCGTAGCAGCGCTATTGATGATGGAGATGTAGTTGTTGCAAGAGGAGGTGTAGAGATAAAGAAGAGTGGAGGAAATGCTGTAGTTGACGAGGATAGTGTATAGAATAGGCAATTATAATTAGAGAGGTTTTTTTAACTTGTTTTATATACTTTAATCTAGTTTACTATATCTACTTTAAATTATATAAGTTTAAGCTATGTAAGCTAGTTTAATTAGTTTATTATATTTTTTTATTTTTTAAGATAAAGTTAAAGTAATTTTATATATAGTAATAAGTAGTCTTAACTTACTTAAGTGCCTTTTACTTCTTTTTAGTAGTTTATTTATATATTTTTTTTATTTTTTTTAAGTTAAAGTTAAAGTAATTTTATTTATAGTAATAAATTTTTTTTAATTTCTACTTTTAAGTAAAGGGAAAAATTATTTATTTATTTTTTATTTTTTAAGTTAAAGTTAAAGTAATTCTATATACAGTAATAGTTTAAAATAAAAAAGTTACTAAAATAATAAGTAATTACTAAAAAAAACTTATAATTTTTATTTTTACTTAAAAAAAGATTAAAAGGTACCTTTTAGCACTAGCTAGTTTAAATTAAAATAGCTTAAAGCTTATTTTAATTAAGCACTAGCGCTAAAAACTAGATTTTTTTTATTATAAAAGCTTTTTTTAATACTATAACTATTATTTACTAGAACTATAAAAAAATTTAAAGTCTATTATAATATAAGAATACTAAAAAAATAATAAAGACTTATAGTAGAGTTACTTTTATATATAAAAAATATATAAAACTTTTTTTTTACTATACTATAGCTAACTGTATATAAAACTATAACTATTAAAACTTAAAGTAAATTTATTAAAACTTAAATTAAATCTATTAAAACTTAAATTAAATCTACTAAATTTATTAAAATAGTAATTTTAATTAAGCTTAAATTTAATAATATCTTCTTACACTTAGTGCTTATAATGTTTAAAAGCTAAAAAGTTAATAGTAAATAACTTTAATTACTTAATATAATAAATAGCTTTTTAATAATATTACTTAAAGTGCAGCAGCTAGTTAGCAAAATTAAATATAACTTTACTTTAAACTTAACTAAAGTTAAAGTTTTATATTTATACTTATAAAAGTAAACTTAAGTAAGTATTACGCATCTAAATAGTGTAATAAAAAAATTAAGCATATAATTTTTAACTTTTATTTAAAACTAGCTTTTTAGTAAAAAGTAATAATAAATAGGCTAAATTAAGTAAAAAAAGTACTAAAAATTAGCTATTATATTAAAATAAAAAAGTAATAAATAGCAAAGGCAGCAGAACTAGATGTTAATAAACTAAAAAAAACTAAAAGTTAAATAAAAAAGACACTAAAATATTAAAGGCAAAAGTAATAAATAAATAAGAAATAGCTATAGCAAGTAATAAAAGGCAATAAATTAAAAGTAAGAAAAAGTTATATACTATATAATTATAAACTATTACTTTACCTATATAAGTATAAGCTATATAAGCTAGTATTATTAGAAACATAATTTAAAATTACTTACTAGATAAAAAATAGCTAGTTGTGTAGCTTTTTATAAATAAAAAAAAATTGTAATTTAAAAAAAAGTATTAAAAAAAAGTAAAAGGCACATAAGCAACTTAAGACTAAAATTATTTATTCTTTTAGTTATTGCTTATTATTTTAGTTTATTTATTATTATTATTTATTACTATATATAAAATTACCTTAATTCTAACTTGAAAAAAAAATAAAATAAGAATAGTGATAAAAATAATAATAGATAAATAAAAATAATAAGTAATAACTAAAAAAAAAAAAAGTTTTACTTTTACTAAGCTTATTAAGTAAAAATTAAAAAGTACTTTTTAGTACTACGCTATAGTAAAACGTTTATTATAAAAAATTTTTTATTACTTTATAAGTACTTAGTTGCTATTAAATAAACTAATTATTTAAGTATACTAATTAATAGTTATTTTATTTATTTATTTAAGTTAAAGTTAAGGTAATTTTATATATAGCAATAAGTAATAGTAATAAAAAAACTAAAAAAATGTTAAGGTCTTAGAGAACTCTAGTTAGGTTTTGCAGATAACTAGCAGGTAACACTAAAGTAACAAAGGTAGAAGTATAACGTAACAACTAGATTGTATTTCTAAAAAGTAGGTTGTAACTTAGAGTAAATACAAAAGGCTGTAAAAGCTTCTTATCTACTAATTATATATATAAGGTTGTTTAGTGCTTGCTAGCAAGCGCGCTTACTAGTAAGTATGCTTATTAGCAAGTATAATATTACTAAGAGGCTAGTATAAAGTTAAGCTTATTACTTGCTAGCAAGCAGTTACGTGCTAAGTTATAAACATAGTTATCTATAGGCGCTAGTAACTCTATTTTTCTTGTTGCTAGTGCTTGCAGCAAAAGAAGTAAAAGGCTAAATTAAGGGCTTTCTTCTAATTCTAACATTATCTCCCTTTTTTAAGACTTGTTTTTAAGTTATATAATTTTCTTAGCTGTACCTTTATAAGCTGAGCTTGCCCTGCTTATAGCATATTTTAGAGGTTTTTATTATGTCTTTAGATTCTAGAGCTTGCAACCTTTGTCTTTATAAAGAAATTATTACTGTAAACTTTATTGCTAAATTTTTCTACATTTATTATACTAAAGAAGGCTATAATTATTATATTATGCTTAAAACTATATTAAAGTGCGCTAAGTATGTTTGCGTAGAAAAACCTTGCGTAAATATGTTTTAAAAGTCTTTAAATTGTACTTGTAAAGAGTATAAAAAGAAAGTTAAAGAAAATAAAAAGGCGTTATTAGTAGTAATTGCTTATCTTCTTTGTAACAAAAAGATTTTAAAGTAGGCTAAAGATTAGGCTTGTTGCAAGGCCCTGTGTCTTACTTTTAAGTTAAAAAATAAAAAAAAATTAAAAATAGCGCAGAAGATTAATTGTTTAGCAGCAGATACTCTTATTAGTTTCTCTTTTATAGTTTAGTCTACTATAAATTATATTAACAACATAGTAGGCGTGTTGCACGTTCTTAAAGCTAGCGCTTTTTAAAGTTAGTTATTTTAAATTAGCAGTAGTTTCCTTTTTTTATTATATTATCTAATTTTTTGCTAACAGTTTGCTAGATGTGCCTCTAGTTTCTAACTGTTGTTCTTGTATAAGTATTCTTTTTATTTTATTAAATATTTTTTTCTTCTACAGTCTAACTTGCATTGCAGCATTTTTTTAACTTTAAATTTATTTTCTTTTTCTATTTTATAGTAGAATGTGTCTTATAGTAGCGTTCTAAAGTTTACTAGTTTTAGCAGCAATATGTAAAATACTAAGTATATTTTTACATCTTTTAAAAGTTAGAGTTAGTAGTTAACTAGGCTAATAACAGCATTAATTAAAAATAGTCTAACTTTAATATAATCTAACTTTTTGCTTAGTTATTTTATCCTAAAGTTTTTTGTTTGCAGATATACTTTATCCCCCTTTTTTAGCTAAGGTGCTATTTTTCTTTTTCTATTAATAAATAAGATAGATTGTTGTTATGCTTTTTACATATTTTTTTCTAGTTTTTTATATATTTCTTTATATTGTTCTACGTTTTCTAACGCTTTTTATGTTTTTATTATTAGTAAGGTTCTTTTAAAGAAATTTAGATGTCTTTTATAGTTTGCAAAGTATAGTGTTTCGCCTATTATTTTTAATAATTTGTTATTATATACTAATTATGCTATAGGTAGTAAGAAAATCTAGTTGTTCTAGTTCTAATTGCTATATAGCTGTAGGTACGTAATTATAGTTTAATTTATACGTTCTGTTTGTCTATCTATTTTTAGATAGTAAGCTATTAATAGCTTTTGTTTTATTTTAATTGTTACTATTAGTGTTATCTAGTAATTAGATGTAAAGAGCTTGTCTCTATTGCTAATAATTATTTTTAGTATCCTATAGTTTTATACTAACTTATCTAGAATAATGTGTTCTAACTGCTCTGCTAAGTAGTTCTTGTAAAATAAAATTATAAGCGCGTACTTAGTAAATCTATCTACAATTACAAGTATTATATTATACTACACTCTTATAATAGAGTTCTATAATGCAGGGAATTCTATTACAAAGTTTATAGTAATATTCTTTTATAGTACTGTAGGCACTAAAATTAGTTATATTTCTTTATACTTTGCATATATATTATATTTATTCTTCTTATATTTGTTGCAAGCCTAAATGTACTGCGTAACTTTCTCTCTTATATTTATAAAGTTGTAGTTTCTTTATATATATTTTATAGTTTGTTTAATTCCTAGATGTCTGTATAGCAAGTTGTTATAATATTATTATATTATTTATTTTTACTATTTTTCTAGTACATTGTTAGTAATTTGCATAGTAACATTAACTTTCTAAAAGTAGCTAGGTCCTATTGTTCTGTTTTAGCTTTTTTTAAGTATTGCTTGTTGTACTTTTGTTTTTTTACCTATAATGTCTATTTGTTAGCTAAGAGCGTTAGCTCTTCTGTTATCTTTTCCTAAAGTATGTACTATTTTAAACTAATACTGTCCTAGCTTCTTAGCCTATTAAACCTGTTATTAATTAAAATCTTTTGTAGTTGTAAAGGTAACAAAGTTCTTATAGTCTATAAAAATTAATAGTTTAGAATAGCTTTTGCAGTAGATCTTCTAGTGTTAAATTAAATTAATAATTACTATTAATTCTTTATTATAAACATTGTAGCGTTCTTCTGTTAATATAAACTTTCTTAAGTAGTAGATAATAAGGTGCTATTTCCTATCTTTTTTCTGTATAATACATGCTTTTAACGCGAGGTCTAAGGCGTTAGTTTCTATTTGTATTAGTTTTTCTAATTAAAACATAATTAATACTAGAGCAGAAGCGCATGCTTCTTATAGTTTCTTAAATACATTATCTTTTTCTTTGTTCTACTAAAAAGTTTTCTTCTTCCTTATAAGTTGTGTAAGTAGAATTAAAATCTTAGAGAAGTTTTAGATAAATCTTCTGTTAAAGTTGCAAAATTTTATAAATAATTATACTTTTTTAATATTTTTTAGTGTAGGCTATTCTTTAA